GAGCTTTGAGTTCCTCCATATTACGAGCATGACCCGTTATGTAGCTTGTATCTTGATAACGTTCGCTGTTTTCTCATTGCATTTGGGTAACTGTAATTTCTCTGCCGAGTCTATATTGGTTCGAGATAGACATGTTTTATTGTATTTCTCTTCAAGAAGTTTAATACGGTAAAGGTAGGCTCACGAAAATACAATTATTATTAATCTATGTTGTTGTGGGGTGAATGCATGGGTTAGTAATTCATCAATACCTCCAACTAACTATATAAATTAGCAGGTTTTATTTCGAAATCACTACGTGGATATCTACTTCCTAATGTGTTTACCATCAAAGTATCTGTAATATTGTATTTACTTTCGTGACAGTCATCAATACCTCCATCAAACTAACTATATAAAATAGCAGGATTTATTTCGAAATCACATAAATATCTACTTCCTAATGTGTTTACCATCAAAGTATCTGTAATATTCTATTAACTTTCGTGAGGGTCATCAATACCTCCATCAAACTATATAAAATAGGTTTTATTTCGAAATCACTACGTGATTATGTACTTCCTAATGTGTTTACCATCAAAGTATCTGTATTATTGTATTTACTTTCATGACGGTCATAGTTGTACAAAAAACAATAGTCTCTCTGATGACAACACTGTCAGTAAACAGCTGCTCCTGTTCATACTTAGGTGTCGCCCAGCGCCAACAATACAAGCAGGGGCGGTAATCAACGCAGTTAACTTTTCTTGAGCCGAGTCCCATTTCGCCAGACGGATAATTAATCTCAAGGGGAATTAACGCTGACTCTACAAATATCATACGAGTGTGAGAAAGAAGAAGAAAAAAATCATAAATAATTATAGGACTGTTCTGATGTCAGAAGTAGCTTTGGTTTACGACTTGAGACAATGAACTGAATAGACGGAGAAAATACGAGTATAACATGTTTTAATAATCCCCACAAGAGGTAGCGCACTTACTATGTTTCCAGTACATTCCTGTTCAAACCCAACCTGAAAGCAACTTAGAAAAGTGATAAACGTTTAACGATACTGGATCCAAAGCCTAATCTTAATCCTCCAATCTCAAATTTTAAAGCCTCTGCATTTCGTGTACTGAAATCAAGGTTTAGAGGAAAGTAACGAATTTTAAAAAGTTACCTTGTTAAAGGATAGTTAAACAGTTGCAAGCATGAGCTAATTACAATCTGATGAATTGGCAAGGAATTCTGGGAACTATTATGTCTTGTTTTCATCACGTGACTGTTTACTTGTACGTTTCTTGCTTGTCTACCTGCTGTGACCTAGATGTGTGTTGTTTGACCTGGAGCCTGGAGGTCGGGGGTTGTACAGGTATTGCCGGTTATTAGCTGACCTTTAACTCCAGGTATTTCTTATACCTCAGGTCTACTATCAATTCATTTACCCAATTACATGTTTTGTGTATATGGGCGGGGGGTGTGGGGTGATATAGAAGGGCGGATATGAAATCAACTTTGGGAGGGGGAGGTGGGAATATGCTGATGGAAGGCTTGGATCATAAGGGGTGGAGGTGGTAGTGGTTGAGAGCAAACAAATAGAGGCTGTAGTTGTCAGCTTCTTCTGTGGTTTGTACAGTAGCCGATGTTGGACGGAACGCTTGTCTATAGAGGCTTCTGTGAGCAGCTAATCATTGCATCAAATTGGGCAGCTAATCATTGCATCAAATTGAGCATCTAATCATTGCATCAAATTGAGCAGCTAATCATTGCATCAAATAGAGCAGCCAATCATTGCATCAAATTGAGCCCATTGCATAAAATATAACAAGCTTATCATAGCATCAAATTGACCAGATACTTGACAACTTTGTCCACCTTTACGCCCCCTGCTCACCGCACAAAAATTCCATTCATCGTTAACTCATTGAAAGTAGATCTATACGATTTTCTCATCCCGCCAACTTGTGTAGTTTTGTCTGAGGTACAGATTTTACCTTATTACGACTGCATTTCGTTACCACAGAACGCGATTTGAAGATACCACAACAGTCTAGATTAGAAGATTTTCTAAGACTTGATAAATTTAGCATAAGACAAGATTAGAAGATTACCACGAGACTAGTGTTGATTTGACACAGTATTCTCTAATCTTTTCGCTCCCTCTTCTTCCAAAAATTGTCCTTTTACTCAGTTCCCTCCCCTTGTTGTTTTTCTATAGGGTAACGCGTTGCTTATGTCCCCTTGTTTACGATTTTGTTTTTCACCGAACTGGTGGGTTCGCACTGAAGATAACGTTTAGTCCTTAATTGTTGTCTGAGCGGGGGGGGGGGGGGGGGGGGGGAGAGTAGTGTGTGTTTTGAGACGGTGCATATGCCTAAAATAAGGCTTCTTAGAAAGTAAAAATTATTTTATTATTTAGGCCTATGTCAGTTTCTTTACGTTTTTTTTTAAAAATTAATTTACAATTACATTTTGTTAATTTTATTAACTTACTTACTTAAATGACCTTTTAAAAACACATTCAGTTATTTTTTTTTATTTTTTTTCTGAGTGCTAGACGTACCAAACTTGCTGTAACTTCCAACCAAAAAAAAACCCATTGAACAAGTTCCATCCATTTGACCCGAGTCAACGCTGATAGTTGTTCTCTCCCCTGATAATGGTTTAACTCCCTTTAATTACCTACCCTGTGCCCAGACAGTAAACATTACCTGACTTCTTGTCAGCTAAGTTGTCAGCCTTCCTCCGTGTACTCAACTGTGTATACGTGTACTAAACTGTGTACACGTCTACTTAACTGTGTACACGTCTACCTAACTGTGTACAAGTCTACTTAACTGTGTACACATCTACTTAACTGTACATGTCTACTCAACTGTGTCATTGTGTACTCAACTGTGTACACGTCTACTTAACTGTGTGCACGTCTACTTAACTGTGTGCACGTCTACCTAACTGTGTACACGTCTACTTAACTGTGTACATGTCTACTTAACTATGTACATGTCTACTTAACTGTGTACACGTCTACTTAACTATGTACATGTCTACTTAACTGTACACATCTACTAAACCGAGTACACGTAGTCTGGTAGTACATGGCCGTGCAAATAGTACACAACTCTGTACTTATAGTACACAATGATTTGCATGTACATGCACAATATGTGCACATACTGCAAGCTGCATACGTTTTTAACCTGTATGTTTAAATTATGAAAGTTATGCTGCTCAAATCCGACCTTTAACCTACAGTTTCAAAATCTACCTACGGATGACCTTGTCCATACACAAGCATTAGCATCAACCTCTACCCCATATATCATATGACCTTGCCCATATATCACATGACCTAGTCCACACACAACCACTGACATGACATACCCCATATATAACATAAAAAAAAAGTAAAGTTTCCCTTTCTATGGTGCAAGTGAAGTAGAGTTCACTTGTTTCTGTGACCTCGGCATATGAAGAGATAGTGTGGTCAGCACTATGCCCAGCCGCCTTTACTTTCCCTAACGTGAGTTAGGTACCCATCCGAGTTGGGTGGACTCAGGGACGGTCTACTGACTCGAACCCGGATTCGTACTCGAGACTTACGGGTTAGCAGTCCAGCTCTCTACCGCTAAACCACTCCGTCCCACATATATAACATGACCTTGCCCATATATCACATGACCTAGTCCACACACAACCACTGACATGACAGACCCCATATATCACATGACCTAGTCCACACACAACCACTGACATGACAGACCCCATATATCACATGACCTACTCCACACACAACCACTGACATGACATACCCCGTATATCACATGACCTAGTCCACACACAACCACTGACATGACAGACCCCATATATCACATGACCTACTCCACACACAACCACTGACATGACATACCCCGTATATCACATGACCTAGTCCACACACAACCACTGACATGACATACCCCGTATATCACATGACCTAGTCCACACACAACCACTGACATGACAGACCCCATATATCACATGACCTAGTCCACACACCACCACTGACATGACATACCCCGTATATCACATGACCTAGTCCACACACAACCACTGACATGACAGACCCCATATATCACATGACCTACTCCACACACAACCACTGACATGACATACCCCGTATATCACATGACCTAGTCCACACACAACCACTGACATGACCTTGCCCATATATCACATGACCTAGTCCACACACAACCACTGACATGACCTTGCCCATATATCACATGACCTAGTCCACACACAACCACTGACATGACAGACCCCATATATCACATGACCTAGTCCGCACACAACCACTGACATGACATACCCCTTATATCACATGACCTAGTCCACACACAACCACTGACATGACAGACCCCATATATCACATGACCTAGTCCACACACAACCACTGACATGACATACCCCTTATATCACATGACTTAGTCCAAACACAACCACTGACATGACATACACCATATATCACTTGACCTAGTCCGTATACAAACACTGACATGACATATAACCCCGTGTATCAGATCCTGCATTGTGTGCCCTTAGCATGACAACACATTATATTAACAATCCTTTTGTGACAATAAAACCTAACACAGACCTTTTGTCTTCTTGGATTTGTCAAGTGTGAGACCTCAGTGCCTCACACTATTTTTACATATTACATCAGACTCAAATTACATTACAGTGTGTTGTGTATTGGTTTTAACGCTTTTTTGTTGTTGCTTATTTGCAACTTAAACTGTATAACATTGTTTTTTTTAACTACGTAAACAAGAATAAAAATAATAAATTATCAAATACATTAAATTTCAGCAATTTTTATGTAGACTTTAATTTTTAAAAGTGTTTCTATCTTCAGAAATTGTGATGAATCTAAACTGTCTCTAAATGATACTGAGAGGAAAATTTAGTTTAAAATATGTTTACAACCACCTTAAATGATTGTGTTCTGACAGGTTTTTACCTTCTTCTCTTGCAGCTACACCTTCCCCAGCATGCAGAGTCTCGGAGAGGATCTGGTGTGTGTCCTTGATCAGCTTGAGTAAGTTTGTCTGGCACTACACTTCATTAGTTAATTAGTGTAGGTTAGCTTGAGTAAGTTTGTCTGGCACTACACTTCGTTAGTTAATTAGTGTAGGTCAGCTTGAGTAAGTTTGTCTGGCACTACACTTCGTTAGTTAATTAGTGTAGGTCAGCCTGAACTAGTTTAGCTGACCTGTACATCACTGCCACCCACCCTGCATTTGATCTTCTATTAGTTCATCACATCACTTGTTTGATCATTTTGTTCATTTGTTTTTCATGTATGTATATTGTTTTAAATAAGTGTATCATAATGGTTATATTTTGGGACCATAAAATAATGGACAAAAAAAATCTGATTATAGTGATTGGAAACAAGTATTTTTCTATCAGTTATTTGACCTAAGTGAACAAGTATTTCTTTTAGACAAAATCTCTTTGTTTTAAAATCTTTTTAAAAATATTTAGTAAGAAAAAATTTTCAAAGAAGAAAATAAAGTGTTTGGAATCTTTGCCCAGTATTACAAATCTCAGTCAAACAAATGGCACCCTCTCCGTTCTAGCATGAAGTTTCCACTTACCATTCTAAATGAAATGAAAGTGTTGAGATGATGAATCCATCCTTCTGGTAAATTCTACAGTTATGCGTGATTGGATGGCTTCATGCCAAGGCAAAGTCAAGTGTATTCTACTTGACAATCTCCAATCATTTTACCTCAGTCTTTGATCGTTTCAATCTCTCAATCATCATAAACTGCAGCCTCTAAAAAAAAAATACATTTTTTAATGATGTACACTGTGGTTGGACCAGGGGCTAGTGCCCAGATAGCTTTGGCTAGTATTCTGTCAGTGTAACTTCTAGTTCTCCAGTTTAAAGACAGACTGAGCAGTGTACAGAAATGTTGTTGTTAGTATTTGGAAAAGTACGTAGTTGAAGTTTTCATCTGTCCAGAATGTATATTGTTGTTGTTACTTATTAAATCAGTCCAGAATGTATATTATTGTTGTTACTAATCAATATGTAGGAAGAGAAATGTTGTTTTTTTAGTATGAAACTATTTTTTTAAAATCTTAACATGGAAATCCAATCAGCATACACACACACACACACACACAAACACACACACATACATACTTACACACACGACTGGACATTTCCTGATAATCCCTGGGTAAATGTCCATGTTGAGCCGCATATTGACTCTAGACCAGCCAGCTCTATGTGTGGTCACAGCATTAGCTGGTCACTACCCTCAGTCCTACAGCCCAGCCACACTGCTGGGTTAATGTAATCAACCTCAAGTGACCATTAGCTGACCATTAGCTGACCACCAGTCTCCTGCGTCTCACTTCCTTTCTTTCCTACAGCTCCAGAGATCCTCTAATTTACATAAGCTCCACCCCCACCCTCCTCCCCTTGTGGTTCAGGGTTTGAAATGGGACTTCATTTCTTTTAAAAAACATTTAGGATTTTATACTGCTGGGTTTTTTATGTTTCTCAACAGTTAAGGGGAATAACGCTGGTATAACATTTTATACAATACTTTCTTAGATCAAAAGGTCTTGTATTAAAAATTGTAAAAAAAAAATTAGTAAAAAAAACTTATAGATGCAAAGGTCTTGTATTAGAAATCTTGTTTTAAAATTGTAAAAAAATAAAAACATGATTTAAAATAATCTCATAACATGTTTAAAAAAAGTAGTTGATGTGAGATTGGTTCTGAAAAACGAATATTTGTACATGTGTTAAAAACATAAACATCTATAACATTTCTTCAATTCCATTCAAAAGTAACGACATCAGTTAACTGAAACTTAAATGTCAACTTTTCTATCCCCAGTGTCAAGCAAGTCATCTGTGTGGGTGAAGGAGCCGGTGCTAACATTGCTGCTAGATTTGCTGTAAGTCTGTTGTTGTAGCACAAGTCTGCTGTAAGTCTGTTTTACTTCGTTCACAGAGTCTGTTTGTGGGTTTGTGGCAAATCTTGTAACTCAATTTTGAACCACTTCTAATGCAGAGATTGTGATCAAACTTTCCAGATACCTTCTTCTTTGATGACAATGCAAGAATATATTTCTTAAACTAATTAGATAGACAATAAGTCATTAAAATTTAAATAAATGATTTTGAAGCTATGGGGAGGTAACAAGGATAAGTACTTGGGATTGCTTGATTAGCTAGCTATCAGCAGTGAACTGTTGGTCATGGTTGGTTGCTTCATGCTCAAGAATGGCCAATTATGAATTACTAAAGATTAGAAAAACAAATTTAACAAAACTTGATAATAACATGCATTGAAAATAAGAAAATAAAACTATTTTGTTTTCTTTTTAAAAAAAAAAGCTTTGGTCGCTAAAAATTGTAAAAAAAATCTTCCAAGCAACCAAACCTTTTATTAAAGAAAGTAAGTTTTATTTTATTTTTTCAATCCATCTATTTTATGAGTCTCTCAGTCTGTTTGAAGGCCACAAACTGTTCAAGCACATCGTATTCACCATTCCCACAATCTATTGCCAACCAGATACAACACAAAACCTAGAAAACTCAAGAGCCCACGTATTTCTATTTTATCTTCAAGTTTTTCTCCTCCCCTCATGTGTGATGATAACTGCTGGCCCTGGGGCTAGCTGCGCCCAATCAATGGCTCCCTGACAGCGGCTGCTAATGTTTGGCTGGGGCAACTTGGTTAAAGACAGAATTTACACACGGCTCAGTGCCTTTCTATACAAGTTCTCTGAACTAGCCTCCCATAGAAGTTCTCTGAACTAGCATTCCATACAAGTTCTTTGAACATGCAAATTCTCTAAACTTGCATCCCAAACAAGTGGTCTCAACTGCTGTCCTTTAAAAAATTTCTCTTGAACTAAAATAAAAATTTTCAGTTTGTGGTTGCAAACAGTCTAAAAATATTTGAAACCATTTTCTGTTTAAATTTGATTATAAATTTTTTTTTAAATTCTGACAATTTAAGGGGATATGCTATGTTTTTTTCTATTTTTTACAGTTTAAGATCTAAAGCCTTTTGAATACTTTTATCATATTTGGCATATAATAGTAAGTATTAAACAGCAAAAAAAGGGTCGAAAACAATTTTGGTTGTCATGGAAACCCAAAAAAACTTCCGCCATTTTGAATTTTTCGGTACTTTTAAAAATACTAAGGCTTTTTTATTTATGCACCTATAGCAATCAAATTTAAACTGCTTATATTTCAGTATATATTAAAACTTTTGTCACGACAACTTTTTGAAATAATTACTAGTAAGAATTTTACAAGGTCTAAAAAATCGTACCCTTTTTAGTATTCAAAAGTTTCAAAATTTGCATATTAATTACCAAATACTTTTTTTCTATGAAAGCAATCACAATTCCCTAGTGACAAAAGTTGTATTTTTGCATCAAGAACAATTACTGAAAATGTGGTTGGCATTGTTTAATAAATAAAAAAGTAGTAGGCTTTTTAGTGTTAAAAACATGCGAACTGAGAAAAACAGCCAAAAGTAACAAAAACTAGGTCAGGAAAGTACCATATCTGTGTAAACTGCAAAGCCGATTGTAAGCTTTGGGTGTTTCCGAGATGTAGGAAATTAAGTTTCTTAGATACATGAGAAATCCAGCTTTCCAATGATGTCAAATACAATATAATGACGGATATACAATTTTTCATAGAGAGCTTGTAAGATTGGGAAAAATTGATTATTTTTTAATTAATAGGGTCATAAAAATCGTAATTCAAACACATAAAATATTTTTTTCTCTTTAAAGTTATTATTCTCTTTATACAAAAATGGACAAAGTATCCAAAAGTGCAAGAAACCCATCATGACGAAAAACAAGAAATTTTGTGATTTTTTTCCGCGCATATCCCCTTAAAATTTAAAAAAAAAAATTTTGTTTTCTAGATGGCGCAACCTGAAAGAGTTTTGGGCTGTGTCCTCATTCATTGCACTGGTACCACAGCAGGTGTCATGGAGTCTCTTAAAGACAAGGTAATTAGTGGCATACAGGTAATTAGCGGCATACAGGTAATTAGTGGCATATAGGTGTACACTCAAGGACTGGCTCAGTTTTAATCAGTTTAAAACTTGAATATATTCATGGTGATTTTATTGAATGTCTGCTCCTGTAATAAATTCTAGTGGTCACAACAAATGGTCTGTTGCCATAGAATCCACTCTGCACTAATAGGGCCCCAGCATTAGTTTAGTTCAAGGTTAAAATCTAATAGGCTAGCAACATCAACCACTTTTAGCTAGGCCTTGACAGAGATCTCCATCATTAAGTAGTACATCAGTCACCAGAAACTTTGTCAGAATTTCTGTCTATACAGTGAGATGCTAACTCCAATAAAAATTGACAAGCTTGCTAAACTTTCAAATTTAAAGGTTTTTTAATTTTCTTTAAAATTTGTATTTGATTGTGTTTTTTTTTTTTTAAAAGACGGAAGTTTCTAGCAAATAATGTATCCATTAAATGATTTAAGACAGAGTGTTAATTTACATTCTTTTCTGAGCGTTAATGTCCAGTAGAATTTATCTTGTTACTCCTAAGCCTAACACTACTGGTGATTGAAGTTTTAAGCCTAGCACTACTTGGTGATTGAAGTTTTAAGCCTAACACTACTTGGTGATTGAAGTTTTAAGCCTAGCACTACTTGATGATCGAAGTTTTAAGCCTAGCACTACTTGATGATCGAAGTTTTAAGCCTAGCACTACTTGATGATCGAAGTTTTAAGCCTAGCACTACTTGGTGATTGAAGTTTTAAGCCTAGCACTACTTGATGATTGAAGTTTTAAACCTAGCACTACTTGGTGATTGAAGTTTTAAGCCTAGCACTACTTGATGATCGAAGTTTTAAGCCTAGCACTACTTGATGATTGAAGTTTTAAGCCTAGCACTACTTGATGATCGAAGTTTTAAGCCTAGCACTACTTGATGATCAAAGTTTTAAGCCTAGCACTACTTGATGATCGAAGTTTTAAGCCTATCACTACTTGGTGATTGAAGTTTTAAGCCTAGCACTACTTGATGATCGAAGTTTTAAGCCTAGCACTACTTGATGATCGAAGTTTTAAGCCTAGCACTACTTGGTGATTGAAGTTTTAAGCCTAGCACTACTTGATGATTGAAGTTTTAAACCTAGCACTACTTGATGATTGAAGTTTTAAACCTAGCACTACTTGGTGATTGAAGTTTTAAGCCTAGCACTACTTGATGATCGAAGTTTTAAGCCTAGCACTACTTGATGATTGAAGTTTTAAGCCTAGCACTACTTGATGATTGAAGTTTTAAGCCTAGCACTACTTGGTGATTGAAGTTTTAAGCCTAGCACTACTCGGTGATTGAAGTTTTAAGCCTAGCACTACTTGATGATTGAAGTTTTAAGCCTAGCACTACTCGGAGATCTGAGTTTTCTCCCCTTGTTGCCCTTACCTCCCGACATTAATTGTAAAATCAATTCCATCCCAAAAAGCAAATTGTTTCTTGACCATGTTTGCCTTGTAAAATTGAGTTTGTCATGTAATTACAGTTTGTAATGGCGATAAACAAAAAAAAACTATAAACATGACGGCAATACAAAAAAAAATATTTTGTATTTCCATCATGTATATGCTGAGAGGGAGGATAGTGTACTCACCCCCATAGAGCCGTTGAGTGAAGTCATATCTAGTTATTTTCTGCAACTGTATAAGCCATGTAAAGTAATACTTGCTCTACTAAATAACAACTTTTGTGGAGTTGCTAGTACCTCCCAGCTGTCCGGAATCAAATGTTTACACTGGTTGGATGTACAATAGTGCTCAGATCAAACTGCAGATCTTTTAACATTGCTGTTACCATGAGACCTTTTATCATGACCTGTAAGACCTTTTAACATGACTTTTATATTTCACCATTGACCTTGAGACCCACCTGCACCTCATCTGTAATCTCAAGACCCCCCCCCTCCTCTGTAATACCCCTGAGCTTGACCTATAAGCTGTTCACATAAGACCCACCTGTAATACCCCTGAACCTGACCTATAAACTTAAGACTTAACCGTAATACCTCTGAATCTCACCTGTAAACTTAATACCCACCTGTTAGACCTCTAAACCTGACCTATAAACTTAAGACCTAGCCGTAATACCTCTGAATCTCACCTGTAAAGTTAAGACCTAGCCGTAATACCTCTGAATCTCACCTGTAAAGTTAAGACCTAGCCTGTAATACCTCTGAATCTCACCTGTAAAGTTAAGACCTAGCCTGTAATACCTCTGAATCTCACCTGTAAAGTTAAGACCTAGCCTGTAATACCTCTGAATCTCACCTGTAAAGTTAAGACCTAGCCTGTAATACCTCTGAATCTCACCTTAAAGTTAAGACCTAGCCTGTAATACCTCTGAATCTCACCTTAAAGTTAAGACCTAGCCTGTAATACCTCTGAATCTCACCTGTAAAGTTAAGACCTAGCCTGTAATACCTCAGAATCTCACCTGTAAACTTAATACCCCCCTGTGAACCTCACCTGCCCTCTGTGTCCCCCAGGTGATGAACTGGAAGCTGGAACAGATAGGCATGAACCCCTCCACTGAGGCCTACCTGTGTCTGCACCGTTTTGGCTCGGTAAGTTCACAGCCAGCTAGACACAATCTTACAACTCAACACATCCTTTTTAAACAAACCTTTTTTGTTTCGTTTCTTTTGCAGTGGTTTTTTTTTTTTTTTTTTTTTTTTACTATAATTTTATTTTTAGATCAGTAATTATTGCTATAATTTAAATTTATGTTTGATATGATTTGTTTTATATGTTTTGACCCTATTTTTTCCATAAAAGAACAATTGTAATGTATAAAAACTGAGTTAAAAAGACCAACTTCTGCAGACTAGAGTGAGTGGAGAATTAAACCATGTCTTGTCCAATTGTTTAGAGTGGCAGGTCTCTGGCGGGAAGGAAAGCCACCAGGGCGCCACTCATCAGTGTAATCAAACTGCCCGCTCAGCAGGACTTTAATTATGCCACCCTTTTGGTACTCTCCACTTTCAGGTTTCACTTGTTCTATTCTTTTAGCTCGACTAATTTTTTTTGGGGTTTTTTGTTCACACTTAATCTGATTTGTCATTTTGTTTTACTTAAAGGTTTTTTTTATTATTACTTTTTATTTATTAACAAAACCTACACTATTATTTTTTTTATTATTTTGTTGTTTTCGCTGAAATATGTTTCATGTTTATTAATATTTAACTTGCTAATTTCAAATTTGTTTACTTATTTACATGAAGAGTGTATAACTAGGCATATAATAAAATTAACTAATTTAAATGAATTCTCGAATTTGTTTTATGCGGTAGAAAATTTAATAAATGATAACATAATTCCTTTAGAACTATTTTATTTTAAAAACTGGTTATAGCTTTAGATCAGTTGCATTGTTTATTTTCATTAAGGTATTTCACACAGCTCATCTAGGTGATTATTTGAAACCAATCACTAAAGCTAATCTTAGATGCCTTAGGACTTCAAAGAAAATTTTTTAAATATTATTTATCAAATTATGCTGTTTTTATGTAAACAAAAAATACAAAATTAATTTCAAAGTCCCTTTACAAAAAATGTCTTATGTCTGTATAAAATAACAAAAACTGACAGACTAATGTTAGTGTTGTGTAGCCGTGTCTTCCCCTCTGTGTTGTCTGATATTAAACCCTGTTGTTTTGTACCGTAGTAGTTTGTTTCTTCCTTTCTGTTTATAGCTGTAGCTGTTGTTATCAAAAGGGTTTGATAGTTGAGTGAATGTGTCTGATGGTCCCTTCACCATCTTGTAATGGCACCATTTATTGTGGTTTTCTAATGGATTCCTTTAAACCAGACAATTTGACCCATCTATGTGAATTTTCTATGGCCCTATTTCAGTTTCAAACATCGAAGTAATTTTTATTTTAGATGGGGATCACAGTAAAATACTTTCATTGAAATATGACATTTTGTAGCTCTAAAAATTGTGACGGTATTTTTCTATTTTTTAAATAAATTTATAATCAGCTAGTTTTTCCTTAGGGAATTTTATGTGTTAAAAATGTTTACGGTATATTTCTGCTTTTTAGGATGAATTATCTTGAGCTATGTTTGCTTTTCAGATCCTATACATTAACTTCACAAAGTAGGCTATGTTGTGTATGTTGCCATACAACTTTGTTTACATTAATTCCTGCAGGATACAATCTGTATAACACAGTATTTTGTAGGATGCAGATAATCAGCAAACTCATTTCACTGAACAATATAATAGATGATGTGTGCTGTAATGGTTGAAAACTTCATACTTTACACCAAAGTTTATGTGTTTTGTACAGCTTTATAACTTCACACTTGACAACATAATGTATAATGTGCTGTAAAGCTTTAAACCATCACCCTTTACACCAGGGGTCTCCAAACTACGACCCGCGGGCCGCATGCGATGTCCTTTCATCCAGCCCGCAGAGATTTTTTTGTCCAAGGAAAAAATGTTTGTTGGTGATGGCTGAGGAACTTTGCCCAGAAAAATCAAAGACATGCCTGGAAGAAACTGGCCCCCGAACTGAAATTTGATAGTTAATGCGGCCCTCGGACTGAAAAGTTTGGAGACCCCTGTTTTACACCAAAATGAAATGTGTAAAGCTTTAAAACATCACAGTTTACACCAAAATGATATGATGTGTGCTGTAAACCTGACCAAAGCTGATATCTCTTTCTTTTCCTCCTCTCCCTCCTTCCCCCACCCCCACCTCTCTCTACTTTATGGTAACTAGGTGACACCTGAGGTAACGTACACTCTCTTCTCATGGTTATATTACCACTACTCCCTTCACTCAATTAGTAACTTCAGTTTTTTTTTTTTTTTTCATTTTTTTAAATCATGTATTCAGAATTAGCCAATTTTATTTTTAAATGTATTTTGTTTACTCTTCTATAACCACATTAATCTAGCTGTAACTCACACCAATATTGGGTTCTGGTACACTATAGAGGCATTATTTAATCAAGATTTTATACTGGTCTTGTAATTGTTTTGTTTTTTTGTAGCGTTTGCCAATTAAATTACAAAATTTTAAAATTATTCAATGAAGCATTAGTTAAAACAACGCTTTTTTTTTATTTGATAGATGCATCTGAACTTCGAATAACATTTCAGTCAATTTGTTTTTTTACTGCTTGACTTTATTGTAGTCTATTGAAAAGCTTGATCACTACTTTGTGATTTTTAGATTTTGTTTTGTTTAATTGAAATTTTATGCATTTAAAAATGTGTTTCAGAAGTCTTGTTTGTATTTTCTTCAACACTTACACAATTTTTTACAATAATGCAACTTTGTCTGTTATAATTTTTTTTCTAAATTTTGCATATATATATTTTAAAAAAGTGTATAAAATGTATATTTACTAGTTCCAGAATTAAGAAGAAAAATATTACCTGCACAGGAACACGCACTGTGTTCAATACTAACATGCAGGCCGTGGTTCTCTCCCCTTACAAAAGTCACATAAACATTTCTAGTGCATGCCTTTTCAGTACCTTTATGCCCAGTACTAGTAGTTGAATTAATTCATTACCTTCTATACACACATTACAATATAAAACAGTGTAGGTTTTTTAAGACTTATCCTTAAAAATAATTAAATTAAGATTTTTTTTTTCTAAAAATTCACTTTTAAAAATGTATGCATTTATTTATTTTTTTCATAATTGTTAAATATGTAGTTTAAATTTTTTTTAAAAACCTATTTTGTTCTTAAAATGCACAAATCTCAAAACAAATTGATTCCCATTTCTTTTTACTCCCCATCCTGACTAAACATTACGAGTAAGTGAATACGCTGTACAACATATGCTTGTTTTTTCTGTGTTGTCTTCCGATGTGACTTTGTCCTCTATACTTACTGTTTTAACATAGACAGCCCTCTATATTGACTGTTTAAGATATACGTTTTAGACATATTTTAAGACAGAAATTTTCTTCATTTCATAAACATTCATCGTGAAAATTAATTTAACTTTTTATAAGCTGCCTGTTGGGCCCTATCAGGGATGTTTTTCATTTTTTTTAAATGACTTAAGCAATTATTCTAGTTAGACATTAATTACTGTAGAACTAGAGTGTGTCGTTTAACTGTATTGGTAGCATTGACTTCACTTTTTTTTCTTTAAATATGATAAATAATGACAGCTAATTGCAATCTTTCACAGTGATGCAATTTTTTAATTAATTATTTTAGTGATATTCCTTTCCATGTTTTAACGCTTTTTAGCTAACATGAGTCATTCTTTTTGTCTTAAAACTCAGCTTTAATCATTTACATTCAGACTCTACTAAAAATATAATACCTTTAAAAAATTGTACCATAATAAATTGTACCTGATGTTCTAGCTAATACATGTCTCTATAAATAAACTCATTGTTGTGTCTTGTCCTGGGCAGATTGGTATATTTAAGGGTGATACCAACATTGCTTGTGGATTCTTTACCTTACTCAAGATGTATAATTAATTGTCTTGCTTCATTTCTAGACTAGCACTACTGGTCTAGATTTTAACAATGCTTCTGTATATTCATCCACATTACTCAAGAGAATCAATTCTTGTATTTGCTTTTTAGTTTAATAGGGTAGCTTGGCTTAAATAAAACAATTGACTCAGAGCATACAACTCCTATTATATTTTGTATTCCAATAATGAATTCTTAAACTGAGGTCTAAAGTCATAAGCTTTTTTTTTTCTTTTATCATATAGGAAAGTCCTAGGTAGCTTTTAACTTATAGGCTGCATGCAATGTTACATGTAATCCAGTTTACACCTAATCCTAGTTAGTTAAGTTAAACACTTCTTGTGTAACAGATTAAGATTTACTCTAATCCATTCTATGCTCATTTAATTATTCCATCTTCGTTAAAACATACAATAAGATATTTCCCTTTATTAGTATTTGAACTTTTAAAAATAAGATCAAACATGTATTTTCAACGTATGCATTCAGTTAAACTCAAAAACGTTTTAGTCTACCTTACAATTTCTACCAGGTATAAGATAATACTTAATTTAAAATCTTTATTGATTAAGTTGTTTTCTGTATTCTCTAATACCCCCCCCCCCCCCCCCACCTTATGTTGGACAAGCTAAAGCATGTGTGTGTTGCTTTCAGTTTACAAACCATCAAAACAATGAATCCCATGTCTGGTCCCTTTTAGGTAGAATAGTAACCCCAGTCACGCCATTGTTCCAAACTCCTAATCAAAGTCCCAACTCCCATCCAACACAACCCCTATTACACTCTAACCCCCCACCAATTCTAAGTGTAACCCATCCAACCCCTATTACAGCCTAACCCCCAGACCAGAAATCCCTCCTTTTCCAAATCCCTAGTTTTAAAGTCTTTTCTTAAATAATCTGAGCCCAGTCTGTCTTGGTTATACCCCCACACCCAACCCCACACCCAACCCCACACCCACCACTCATCTACCCCTTCCCCCTCCTACCAGTAAGGTTGTATTTTCTAAAATAGTTCAGGTTGATAGAGAAGCTACACTTTAAGCCCCCACCCCTAATCTTAATCTCCCTTCACTTATCTACCCCCCCCCCCCTCCATGTTTTTTGTGTAACCTGAGTCTGTTTCACCCCAAATAGACTAACCCCACCCACCCAGACCCCACCTCACCTATTCAGCCCTACCCCCCCCCCCCCCCATCTTTTAAAGATGTTTTTGTGGGAGTTGATGCCTCACCACCTAATATAGACTAATCTCATCCACTCAACACCCACTCAGCCCCTCCCCAATCCACCAGTTTACCCCCCCCCATCCATTAGTAATGTCATAGACTAACTCCAGCCATTCAGCCCCACCCCACCAGTCTAGCTGTCCTAATGTCCCCCCCCCCCATCACATGTCATGTTGTGTGATCTTAGACCTGACCACCTGACATAAACTAACCCCACCCACAGCCCCCAACCCACCCATTCAGCCCCCCTACCCCACCAGTCTAGCTGTCACACTTCCCCCCCCCCCCCCCGCCATCCCATCCCATGTCATATTGTTGTGTGAGCTAAGACCTGACCCCCTGACATGAACTAACCCCAACCCCTAATGTTTCCCCTACCCCACCAGTCTAGCCCCCCCCCCCCCCCACCCCTTGTTGTGTGAGCTAACACCTGACCCCCCAGACATGAACTAACCCCAACCCCTAATGTTCCCCCTACCCCACCAGTCTAGCTGTCATCCCCCCCCCATCCCATGTGTGAGCTAAGACCTGACCCCCCAGACATGAACTAACCCCAACCCCTAATGTTTCCCCTACCCCACCAGTCTAGCCCCCCCCCCCCCCATCCCATGTTGTGTGAGCTAAGACCTGACCCCCAGACATGAACTAACCCCACACCCTGGTGTGTCTCTACAGTTTGAGAAGGCTGAGAACAAGGAACAGCTGCAGAAAGTCATCGAATCTTTCCAGGAATCTCTGAGGTCAAAGATCAACCCAAGAAACCTCAAGAGATTTGTCCAGGCTTTCATGAGGTCAGTTTCTTCTAGGGTTCAGTTTCTTCTAGGGGTCAGTGTTAGCCAGGGGTCAGTGTTAGCCAGGGGTCAGTGTTAGCCAGGGGTCAGTGTAAGCTATGGGGTCAGTGTTAGCCAGGGATCAATGTAAGCTATGGGGTCAGTGTTAGCCAGGGGTCAGTGTTAGCCAGGGGTCAATATTAGCCAGGGGTCAGTGTTAGCTAGGGGTCAGTGTTAGCCAGGGGTCAGTGTTTACCAGGGGTCAGTGTTAGCCAGGGGTCAGTGTTTGCCAGGGGTCAGTGTTTTCCAGGAGTCAGTGAGTGCTAGGGGGTCAGTGTTAGCCAGGGGTCAGTGTTTACCAGGGGTCAGTGTTTGCCAGGAGTCAGTGAGTGCTAGGGGGTCAGTGTTAGCCAGGGGTCAGTGTTAGCCAGGGGTCAGTGTTTGCCAGGAGTCAGTGAGTGCTAGGGGGTCAGTGTTAGCCAGGGGTCAGGGTTAGCCAGGGGTCAGTGTTAGCCAGGGGTCAGTGTTAGCCAGGAGTCAATGAGTGCTAGGGGGTCAGTGTTAGCCAGGGGTCAGTGTTAGCCAGGGGTCAGTGTTTGCCAGTAGTCAGTGAGTGCTAGGGGGTCATTGTTAGCCAGGGGTCAGTGTTAGCCAGGGGTCAGTGTTTGCCAGAGTCAGTGTTAGCCAGGAGTCAGTGTTAGCCAGGGGTCAGTGTTTGCCAGGGGTCAGTGTTAGCCAGAGGTCAGTGAGTGCTAGGGGGTCAGTGTTAGCCAGGGGTCAGTGTTTACCAGGGGTCAGTGTTTGCCAGGGGTCAGTGTTTGCCAGGGGTCAGTGTTTGCCAGGGTTCAGTTCCCACTAGAAGTCATTATGTGCTAGGGGTCAATGTTTGTGTGGGGGTCAGTGTTTGCTTAGGTTCATTGTTTGATAGGAATCAATGTTAGATGGGGTTCTTTATTTGCTAGGGGTCATTGTTAGCCAGGGGTCAGTATTTGCTAAGGCTCAATGTTTACATTGGCTAGTTTAGATATAGTAAAGTGACCCTTTTTCATTATTGATATATGCATTACTTTTTAAACATTTTTTTAATGTCAGCAGTTACATAATACATTTCTATCTTAATTTAATTAATATTCATCTTTTATTTTATTTTAGGAGGTCAAATATTGCTGATCAAGTTGGTAAAATCAAGTAAGTTAATTTTCCTGAATGGTCATTTACAATAAATTGTAATGGTCTACATTTTACTAAGGCATCAAGTAGTTTTTTATTATTATTTTTAATGTACTGAAAATATGATATTGTTTATATTGTTATATTTGAATTTTCTTGAATCAATCTTAAAATACCTGTGTTTATTATCATGTCATATGTCAGTCTTAAATTACCTGTCTTTATTATCATGTCGTATGTCAGTCTTAAATTACCTGTGTTTATTATTGTGTCATGTGTCAGTCTTAAATTACCTGTGTTTATTATCATGTCATATGTCAATCTTGAATTACCGGTGTTTATTATCATGTCATATGTCAGTCTTAAATTACCTGTGTCATGTCATGTCAGTCTTAAATTACCTACATTATGTCATGTGTCAGTCTTAAACTACCTGGTCATCTCATGTGTCAGTCTTAAACTACCTGTGTCATGTACGGTGTCAGTCTTAAACTACCTGTGTCATGTGTCAGTCTTAAACTACCTGGTCATGTCATGTGTCAGTCTTAAATTACCTGTGTCATGTGTCAGTCATAAACTACCTGTGTCATGTCAGGTGTCAGTCTTTCATTACCTGTGTCTCTGCCAGGTGCCGCGTCATGATGGTGACAGGCAGCAAGGCATCCTTCAACCACACAGTCCACAACCTGTTCTCCCGCATGAGGGAGAGGCTGGACAAGAAAGAATGTGACATCCTCGAGGTTGATGGGGTGGCCAATGTCTTGGAAGAGAAGGTAACTCTACTTTTTTTTAAAAACTCCTTCCATGATGGGAGACAACCCACAACCTCCATTAAGAAAATATCCCAGAGTTATCTTAGCATTAATTAAAAAAACAAAAATGTAGCTAAATACATCACTGATGTACAATCTTTTAATAGGCTGTTTTAATTACTTCTCATTAGTAAAAGATTAAACACAGTCTAAGAATTACTGGTATTCTCTCCCTTTAAGCTGAAAAACATCTTTCAGTTAAAGTATTTTTAACTATATTTTCATTAGTGGAGAAATTTTAACCAAGCCTTTTAAATTTACATCATTAATCTGATCAAAGACGACACAAATTCCCATTCATTAGCTAAGTCTACAAACACCTGTACACACCTATACCCACCTAATGATAATGTTGTCTTATTACAGCCTGAAAGGTTTGCAGAAAGTTTGCTTTATTTCCTGCAAGGCATGGGCTTAGGTAAGCAAACTTGTTGCAAGTTGATTTTTACTTAGCAGGTGCCGCTCATTAAAATCTAATTAGTATGTTATTTTGGCTCCTCCCTTGTGAAAACTTCGTCAAGTTAATTATAGCCCACTGTTATTAATTAAAATATTTTATTAAAGTTGTTTTTTTTTGCATGATTAACCTAGTGGTAATACAATGTGGTACCCAGGTTCCAAGGTTGTAAAATGTTATTTTACTTTAGAAAAATATTTAGTTAAATATTATTTTCATTCATTTTTTTTTTTGTAGTGCTATATTATGTGTAGATTAGATTAATTATAGACCTGTTGTTACATATTTGTGTGTTTACCTTTAACTTAGAGATTCAACAACTCTTATAATAATAGCACTCTTCTAAGTTTGAACTAAATAATCAAATCCCTCATATTTTGTTTTACACCTTAAATAAAGATCAAAACAATCGATTTTATTTATTTATTTATTTATTCAATAACTATAACAAAACATCTCTTCTATAGTTTTATGCGTCGACCTTTAAGTTTTAAATTTCTTACATAATTTCTTTTTGTGCTCTTTTGAGATTTGCTTTTAACAATCAAATCTCTTATATTGTTTTTGTACAGTTTAATATGTGCTGTGTTGAGATTTGTGTTTACCAATGTCATCTCTCATACAGTTTTGTATGTGTTGTGTTGAGATTTGCTTTGAACTATGACCTCTCTCATACAGTTTTGTATGTGCTGTGTTGAGATTTGCTTTGAACTATGACCTCTCTCATCTGTCAGTTGGCGGTGTCCCTATGCCGCGTGTCCAGCGCTCCGCATCCATCGACAGCACGGGCACGCCCCCCAGCCGCACGCGGTCCATGTCCATGGAGGAGGCGGACATGCCCCGGGGCATCTACTCCATGAGCCCACCCAAGTACGGCTCATCCCCAACCCGAGGCAGCTCCGGCGACGTCCTGTCCACTAGCCCTACAAGCTAAGCTGTTACATTTTGTTGACCACTGATTGACTGTTCATTGATTATTGTAGTGTTTACCTAAATAATCAGCTGTAACTACAATAGTTTTTTTTTTTTTTTTAATTTGTCACATGTTGAAAACATGGCTGATGTTTTAGTTGAAAGTTGGTGTCGACATTTCTGTTAGTATCTGTAACCCTAGACTTGGAGGTCTTAGAAGTGTAGTGGAAACTCCATTTTTAAGGACAATCTCTCCATTCGTGAATCAGGCATGTCTCCTCATACCTATACGCTGCATAATATAATGTTTCCATCCGACAAAGTTTAGATTATCTTTATACATGGCTCATATGAAAATGAAAAAAAAATATATCTAATAAACCCATTTTTTGTAACTATTTGTTTTTATTGTTTATAACTTTTTATAACATTGAGATAATTATGTTTGAATTATTAAATTGTTTTGGTTTTAAAAAATTTTTGCAGCATGAGTTATGTTTTCCAAAGATATTTTTCACTGATTTTTCCTTTAGTTAAAACAGTTTTATGTACGGCAGTGTAAGATGCTGCTTGCATTGCTTCCCCTTTTTTAATTCAATTGTCTATTCACTCAACTAAGTTTAACAACCTTTTTTCTACTATTTAAAATGTATTTTTCCCCTTAGTATAATTTTTTGAAGCCTATCCTTAAAATTATGTGAATCGATCAGTATTCAAAATTTTGATTAAATTCTCAAGTATTTTTTACTTAGTCATTTCCGTAGCATTTACTTTTTCTCTCACCTCGACAAAAAGTATTAAACAATTTTATGTTACCTATTACTTACCTGAACTCTTATATTTTTAATAAGGTTTGTTCAAATTATTTTTGAATTGCATTTAATTTAGTATTATTTAGCATCGGTAAAAGATGCATCCTAGCTCAAGTTTTGTGAGAACTAATTCAAACAAGCAATATAGAATAACTATTTGTATTGTGATTATTTTTAGCCTTCCTATTCTCCTTACAATCTACAATTCAAGTTCTAGAATTTAAAAAAAAATCAGGGTCATATTCTGTGATTTCCTTTTGAAGGATGTTTAATTTTTTTTACACAATCAGGAAATTTGAAAGTTTTATTTATTATTTCTGGTACCAGCCCAGCACTAGAAACTTTGGATGTTTTCTTGTCCAATCTTTAGGGTGAACTGTAAACCACAGTAACAAAGACAGTGGAGTTTCTGTGACATTCTCTTGTATGGAATAGGAATCACTCATTTTGCTTTTCTAACCGATGTTGTTTTTAGGAAGGCTCATTTATTACACTTGTAATTAGAGAATCTGTATCAGTTGATGTTTTTTTTTTATCGTGATTGATGAAGGAGTTTCTATTTAGTTACAGTTTGTTTACATTTAAAAGAACAATTTTTTTATAGAATTTATCAAAAAAAAAAATTGTATTTTTTTTCTGGGTTTGTAATTATTTTTCAATTATTTTGTTTAACGACAACTTTCATATTTTTTACAATATAAATTCACGTAAACTGTTATTGTTATGTTTCACTTTAAAGATCTAGTTTTTATAAGATTCTACTCCTTGAATTGATTAGAAAATACTGAATATTATATTTAACTATGCACATTGTTTCATCATTAGCTATGTTGTAGAACGACTCATTTTGTTTTTTTTTATTCTTTGGTGACAAAAGATTGTACAGGCTGGTGGGATCACCTCATCTTCCTAGATTGTGGTGACCCAATGTTGTGGTGAGTCATATGGTGACACAATGTTGTGGTGAGTCATGTGATGACACAATGTTGTGGTGAGTCATGTGGTGACACAATGTTGTGGTGAGTCATGTGGTGACACAATCTTGTGGTGAGTCATGTGGTGACACAATGTTGTGGTGAGTCATGTGGTGACACAATGTTGTGGTGAGTCATGTGGTGACACAATCTTGTGGTGAGTCATGTGGTGTACAATCTTGTGGTGACACATTCTTGTGGTCATTCATATGGTGACACAATCTTGTGGTGAGTATGTGGTGACACAATGTTGTGGTGAGTCATGTGGTGACACAATGTTGTGGTGAGTCATGTGGTGACAAAATCTTGTGGTCATTCATATGGTGACACAATCTTGTGGTGAGTCATAGGGTGACACAATCTTGTGGTGAGTCATAGGGTGACACAATCTTGTGGTGAGTCATGTGGTCAACTTCTAGAATGGTGACCCAATCATGTTGGCACCTACTCATATGGTGATGTGCTGTCCATCACATTAATGTCCCATCCTACCCAAGGCACAAGAAGTGCTTGTCAAAAGGTCATCCAGATAAAGTGCTTGTCAAAAGGTCATCCAGATAAAGTGCTTGTCAAAAGGTCATATGGATACAGTGCTTGTCTTAAGGTCATGTTGATAAGATCATCTATATACAGTTTGTCTAAAGGTCATCCGGATAAAGTGCTTGTCATTAGGTCATCTGGATGCACAGATATAGTGCTTTTCATAAGGTCATCCAGATGCAGAGCTTGTCATAAGGTCATATGGATACAGTGCTTATCATAAGGTCATCCAGATATAGTGGTTGTGAAAAGGTCATGCTGATATGGGCATCTATATACAGTATTTGTAAAAAGGTCATCTGGATGCACAGATACAGAGCTTGTCATAAGGTCATCCAAATGCAGTCCTTGTCAAAAGGTCTGGATATAGTGCTTGTCATAAGGTCATTTGGGTACAGTGCTTGTCATAAGGTCATCTTGATACAGTGCTTGCCATAAGATTATCCAAATGCAGTGCTTGTCATAAGGTTATCCGTATACATCATCAACTTGTTGGAACTCAATCAACATGAAGGGATTAGTATCCCTGTTAGAACTGATTAGATTTTTATATTACCACAATGACATGTCATTGTCACTGACATGTCATGTCATGACATCATTTTATGTTGTCTATGTATGTACATTGTTTTTTTTATCATGGCAAAATGTGGTTAGCTCGAGTTGTGGTAGGTGGGTGTGGTCCCTATGTTATAGATGAAATGATGGTGGCTATGGGTGAAATGTTGGTGGCTGTGGGTTTAGGTTGTGGGTGAAATGTTGGTGGCTGTGGATTTATGCTACACGTAAGCTAAGTAAGTGGGGAGGGGAAGTTGTTGGCCACTTAGGAACAAAATCTCTACTTAACTTGGCAGGTTTATTATTTTTTTGTTTGTTGAATGTACCTAGATCTGACTGTGTGTTTATGCACAACTTATCTCCAAGTGTACTTGCTTTGTTAGAAGTCCAAATTGTTGATGTCATAGCTCAGTTAGACTGATGTCATCTGCTCATGATGTCATCTGCTCATGGTGTCATAGCTCAGAGTGATGTCATTTGCTTATCATCATGATGTCATAGCTCAGTCAACTTGATGGCATCTGCTCATGGTGTCATGGCTCAGACTGATGTCATTTGCTTATCATCATGATGTCATAGCTCAGTCAAATTGATGTCATCTGCTCATGGTGTCTAGGTCTAGTTTGATTTATGTCTCTTTATGTTTAACATTAAAAAAAAAACTTGTCTTAGTTTTTCCAACATTCACTTTCTCTTGCTGTGGTCTCCCTTTGTTCAGATGACTTCCCTTGGTTGTGTTATTCTTATTGACTACCCTATTTACTTGATACATTTAATTAGATTATTTATATTTAACATATGAACTAAAACCCAAAACATGAAACCAGAACTGAATAAGTCAAGTAACAAAATGTATCTTGCATGTGACACCTATTTGACTTAAAGAAAATAATCAGATGTTTTTCAAGAATTTTTTTTTAGAATTACATTACAAACTCTTTAAATAAATTTTAAAAAAATTTATTACACTCAAAATATTAAAAAAAAACTTTTTTAGAAATGGAAAGAAATACTATGTTCCCTTTTGTTTGTAGTTTCCTAATACATTCTATCGTTGAGTCATGCCTAGACTTAACATTTGAAATTTTTTTGTATTCACTTCGAAAAAATATACGTTCTACCCCAGCTAGAACCTGCATCCGCTTTAAACTTTGTACACGCCCTTGTACACCTGTGTACACATTTTATCTTGTCTATGCTTTAAAGTTTGTTGTTGAAAAGCACCGTGGGGGATATTTTAATTTTTATTTTTCACTGACGACAAAAACATCTGCTGCTTGCCTGATGCTTGTCATGCTCTGCTGGGATTGGGACATTAAAGTTGGCGTTAGAAACTTTGTCTGGTTTGACAGTTAACCATGGTTTGTTGATGTAAGTTTGTAAGTGTAAGTTTGTAAGTGTAAGTTTGTTAATGTAAGTCCTCATCTATGAATGTCATGACTCCCCATATTTTGAGTATCATAAATGCCGTTTATAAATGTCATATGCCCCAATTGCTGAATGTCATACACCCCCATCTATGAATGTCATATATTCCATCTGTGAATGCCATACGTCCCTTATGGGAAATAGATTGGTGATATATGTGTAAATGGTGCCATTTTTTTTCTCATATTTTTTTTTGTTTTTTTATACATTAATCTCATCGTATAACCAAGAAAAAAAACTTACCATAACTCAATGTTATTTCATATCACCATTTTTTTTTAATCCGCAAAATTTTAAACAAGACAATAGTTGTTTTTTTAGTAACTGGTAAAAGCTGTTTTAATTAATTCAGCATTTTATTCAGAATTTTTTTTGTTATTTGTACTTCTAGACAAATATGAATAACTAATGCATATGCATGTTAATTGTAATGGAAAGCTATGGTAAGAGAAAAATTTTTGTTTCCTTTTATTTTTCTGAATCATACATTAAAACATACAAAAAATGCTGGATTTGGTGGTTGTTATTTGTGGTGATGAAAGTTTTATTAAGATATTTTTTTTTTAAATTTGTTTGAGAAGTAACTACACATTTTACCTTACTAGAGCTTCCCACACATATTTATGGAGCTTTATAGTGGCATACACTTTATGCATAAAGATATTTAATTAAAACAGTAAAGTTCCTCTTGAGACCTAGCGATCCTTTAGGCAGATGAAGTAGAGTTCATATGTTTCTTGACATCAGCATACGGAGAGGTAGTGTTTTTCAGCACTATGCCCAGCCACCTTTCCTTTCCCCAGAGGCGTAGCGACCCTCTCAGCGCCCGGGGACAAACTTTCAATTTGGCGCCCACCCCCATATATTTTTTATATTTATAATTCAAAATACCAGCTAAAATGAGCTTATTTTGGCGCCCATAGGTTCGGCGCCCGGGTACATATGTACCCCCCCCCCCCCGTCGCTACGCCTCTGCCTTTCCCCAATGTAAACCAGGTACACATTAGAGCTGGGTGGACTCAGTACGTCCTACATTCACAGGCCTGAACCATCATCCGAACTCGAGACCTGGCTAGCAGACAACCCACAACAAGATATTGTCTTAAAAACAACGGGATGGGGGTTGGGGTTTAGCTGAAGTCATTTTTGGGGAGGATCAGGGAAGTCATAAGCCCCAACAAACAGTGACGTCATTTATATATGACCCCCTTAGTAGCCATTTGACATCAACTTTGTATTCTTTATAAAATGGAAAGACAAAAACATGTAAAGCATTTGGTTAATTTATTTGTAAGAGCAAAAACAAGTTTGTCCTACTTACTTATTGAATTAAATGTCATGTTTTAGAATAATACTTATAAATAATACAATACAGGTTTGTACATCAATTATGTCATATTTAATTAAAATTAAAAGTCAGTTAAATTTCGTGAATATTTACATGGCGAATCCGTAGTGGTTATCTACTTAGCCATTTGGCGTAGGGTTATCCTACTCATATTTACAGCTATTTACACCTGTTTTTAAATATGTTCTGTTGACAAAAGATTTGTTGACAAGTTTATAAAACAGCTGACATGAAGTAGGCCAAGGCCACCGGAAGTGTGATGTACCATTGGCCAGACGTCATCGTTTGTCCGTTGTATGTATCGTCATCCAAGCCGGAGGTGGCGGGGTCAGGTGCGGCGGTGGTGGATGTTGTTGTTGTCGTGGTGCTGGTCGTGGCGGTGTCGCTGTGTACCGTTGGTGGTAGCTGCTCCCCTTTCATCATGTCCGCCGCCTTTTCCCCGATCATGATGACGGCGGCGTTGGTGTTGGTCGAGACGACGTACGGCATAATGGACGCGTCCACCACCCGCAACCCTTCCACCCCTCTGACGCGGAGCTGTGGGTCCACCACGGCCGTCGGGTCATCGGACGATCCCATCTTGCAGGTGCCGGACACGTGATGCAGGGTACGGGGCCTAGCTCGTATGACGCAGCCCCAGTACGCTTTGGTATCGATACCGAACTGCGAGCAACTACTCAACGGTTTGGTATCGGCCAGCTCGGCGCCTAGCTCCACCATCGTCTTAGACTTGAGAACCTGTTTACAGATCTCCACCGCTCTCACCATCGTATCCACGTCTTCCTGACGGTCGTAGTAGTTGGGGGTGATGGCTAGGTCGTCCTTGGGGTCGCGGGATCGAAGCCTGACGGTACCGCGACTTTCGGGTCTCATCAAGAGGGGCCAGAAGGAAAATCCGAAGGTGATGTTGTCTCTGTAGGCTAACTCCCTCACCACATCGTGGTTGTAGTGGTGCTGGAACAGAGGAATGGGCAACGATGAGAGGTTGGATGAGTAACGTAAAGGTACAGTAAGCCCTACAATGTTGGAGGTTAAGTGTTGACGTTTTACAAGACGATAATGGACCTTTCTCACGGTTTAATTCCAATCTTTGTTCTACAGTGTTTACGTATAGTGTGTACCATCTATTCGATTTATTTATTTATAATATTTGCAATTATAATATGATCTGGTGTAAAGTCAACTATGAAATACCCAACCCAAGCCTAATGCTCCTTGAAGAACTAAAGACCACATGGATATCTTAAAAGTAAAGTTTTCTCTTCGAACCTGACGGTCCCTGTGGCAGGTGAAGTAGAGTTCACCTGTTTCTGTGACCTCGGCATATGACGGGATAGGTTTTTCAACGTTATGCCCAGCCGCCTTTACTTTCCCTAATGTGAATTAGGTACCCATAAGACTTAACTCTAACATATAAAAAAAACTAAAAACTTACCACTAGCATCTAAAAACTTACCACTAACATCTCGTACGAGGAGGTCGGCATGAGAGAAAACAAGATCTTGACGTCCGGCCAGTCGAGGGCCTTCGTCTCGTTACTCGTGCTCGTGTGGAAGGCCACGCCCGAGTCTGGCACCGTCAGGGGGCCACGCCCCATCCTCTTGTACTCCTCCACCACCCAATCAGAATTCAGCAGGTGATTGGGCATGTGGACGGGCTTCTTCAACGACGCCACAAGGTCAAAGATCAAATGATCTTGCAGGTTCTCCCCCACGGGGAGATCAGCCACCACCGAGATGTTGAGGGACTCGAGGTGTTTTTTGGGGCCTATCCCGGACAACATGAGAAGCCTCGGTGACTCAAAAGTTCCAGCGGAGAGGACGACTTCCTTAGTGACGTTGACTTGAAATGACCTCCCTGCTCTAGAGATCTGGACGCCGACAGTTTTGTTATTTCTGATGACCAGTCGGGTCACTGTGGTGTTGATCATGATATCAAGATTCGCCCGGTGCATCGCGGGATGGATGTACGCCGTGGCCGTACTCGTCCGCGCCCCGTTTTCTATCGTGGCCTGGGACCGGGCGACCCCTTCAAGAGTGACGCCGTTGTAGTCCTCGTTGAAGGTGTACCCCGACTCCATGAAAGCGTTGATGAGTTTATCGCTGAGCGGGTACACGGGGATCGACCTGGTAATGCTGAGAGGCCCGGATGTACCACGGTACACCGAACTCCTCAACTCGGGGTTCGTGACGTTCTCCAGCTTTTTAAAGTAGGACAGCACGTGATCATATCCCCAGGTCTGGTCGCCGGTGTACTCCGCCCATCTCTGGAAGTCTTGTCTGGCGCCTCTGAAGAAGGTCAGGATGTTGATGCTACTGCAGCCCCCCAGGACGGTGCCCCGGGGCCATTGAGCCTGAAAGTTTTCCATGTGCTTGTAGCGGTCTGGGTTGGGTTCTGGTGAGGGAGAGAGGGTATAACATGAAGCAACGTCCAGAAAGTTCTGAAAGGTCACGTGTTCTATGGAGTATACCTTGCACTATTAGACTATTTTATTTTTAGACTAAAAACGAATCATATTTGTGGTGAAAATAACACCATCAGTCATTTATTCATGTATTCATTTATTCATTTATTCATTTATTCAATTACGGTAACAATAGTAAGCAGGAAGGCATTTTTTTCGAATTGGTCGTTTTAAAATAAACAAATAAAACAAGTCCATTTCTACTTCTAACCACTAACAGTAAGAATGATTTGTGACCAAAATAACTGGGTTTTTAAAATTGTTTTATGCAAAATTTAAACCCAGTTCAGTAAATGAAATGTGTTTTTATTATTTGTTCCAATTTAAAAAAAAACCCAACAAACTGCAGGGAAGTTATGGAAAAATAATATGCTACTGTCTAGTAGTTTAGCCAGCGAACTTACCACTGAAATAGTACTTCATCACTTTAACACTGAGTTAGTATTTCATAAACTTGCTACTGAAATAGTATTTCAAGAGCTTACCACTGAAGTAGTACTTCATTAACTTAACACTGAGATAGTACTTCATTAACTTAACACTGAGATAGTACTTTATTAACTTAACACTGAGCGAGTACTTCAAGAACTTACCACTGAAGTAGTACTTCATGAGACGGGCGTCGCCCCACGTATCTTTAGCAAGGGCCGGTACTCTGATGCTCTCGATATTCCGGTCATCTCCCCCTCGCTCCACTAACAGGACGGTCACGTTGGGGTTCTCAGACAGCCGGTTGGCCACAACTGCGCCGGCAGAACCGGCTCCAACTGTAAGGGGGGGGGGGGGGGGGTGAACAGAACATTTTGTTGACAGGTATTTATATAATATGTCACACCTCATCTTCTTTATCCGTTTGTGCCCACATGAGGCAGATGAAGTAGAGTTCAGCTGTTTCAATGACATATCACACATAGTAGAGTATAATTAATACATCACACATAGAGGTACGCTTGACTTAATGCACAAAACAACTTTACTAATGTAAAGTCGGGAGATGGCGAATTACATGATTCGGAGAGTCGATGGATGGAAATATAGACAAAGAAACTTAAGAAGGAAGCAAATTACGAAATTTAGTGAGTAAATAAATAAAGATACACATTAATGCGCATATGACCCTTAGGAAAGAAAGTTAAAGATAAAAAAACTTTAAAAGATACCGAATTACGTAACTAGTCATAAATATGCAAAAATATGCACATTGATGCATATTTGGCGCTTTGGGAAGAAGATTAAAGATCAAAGGAACTTTAAAAGATACCGAATTACGTAACTAGTCATAAATATGCAAAAAATATGCACAGTGATTCATTTTGGCGCTTAGGAAAGTAAATTAAAGATCAAAGGAACTTTAAAAGATACCGAATTAGGTAACTAGTCATAAATATGCAAAAATATGCACAGTTATTCATTTTGGCGCTTAGGGAAGTAAATTAAAGATCAAAGGAACTTTAAAAGATACCGAATTACGTAACTAGTCATAAATATGCAAAAATATGCACATTGATGCATATTTGGCGCTTTGGGAAGAAGATTAAAGATCAAAGGAACTTTAAAAGATACCGAATTACGTAACTAGTCATAAATATGCAAAAAATATGCACAGTGATTCATTTTGGCGCTTAGGAAAGTAAATTAAAGATCAAAGGAACTTTAAAAGATACCGAATTAGGTAACTAGTCATAAATATGCAAAAATATGCACAGTTATTCATTTTGGCGCTTAGGGAAGTAAATTAAAGATCAAAGGAACTTTAAAAGATACCGAATTACGTAACTAGTCATAAATAGGCAAAAATATGCACATTGATGCATATTTGGCGCATAGAAAAGAAAATTCAAGATCAAAGGATCTTTAAAAGATACCGAATAACGTAACTAGTCATAAATATGCAAAAATATGCACATTGATGCATATTTGGCGCATAGAAAAGAAAATTCAAGATAACAGGATCTTTAAAAGATACCGAATTACGTAACTAGTCATAAATATGCAAAAATATGCACATTGATGCATATTGGGCGCCTAGGAAAGAAAATTAAATATCAAAGGAACTTTAAAAGATGCCGAATTACGTAACTAGTCATAAATATGCAAAAATATGCACAGTTATTCATTTTGGCGCTTAGGGAAGTAAATTAAAGATCAAAGGAACTTTCAAAGATGCAGAATTACGTAACTAGTCATAAATATGCAAAAATATGCACAGTTATTCATTTTGGCGCTTAGGGAAGTAAATTAAAGATCAAAGGAACTTTAAAAGATACCGAATTACGTAACTAGTCATAAATATGCAAAAATATGCACATTGATGCATATTTGGCGCATAGAAAAGAAAATTCAAGATCAAAGGATCTTTAAAAGATACCGAATAACGTAACTAGTCATAAATATGCAAAAATATGCACATTGATGCATATTTGGCGCATAGAAAAGAAAATTCAAGATAACAGGATCTTTAAAAGATACCGAATTACGTAACTAGTCATAAATATGCAAAAATATGCACATTGATGCATATTGGGCGCCTAGGAAAGAAAATTAAATATCAAAGGAACTTTAAAAGATGCCGAATTACGTAACTAGTCATAAATATGCAAAAATATGCACATTGATTCATATTTGGCGCATAGAAAAGAAAATTAAAGATCAAAGGATCTTTAAGAGATACCGAATTACGTAACTAGTCATAAATATGCAAAAATATGCACATTGACGCATATTGGGCGCCTAGGGAAGAACATTAAAGATCACAGGAACTTTAAAAGATACCGAATTACGTAACTAGTCATAAATATGCAAAAATATGCACAGTTATTCATTTTGGCGCTTAGGGAAGTAAATTAAAGATCAAAGGAACTTTCAAAGATGCAGAATTACGTAACTAGTCATAAATATGCAAAAATATGCACATTGATGCATATTGGGCGCCTAGGAAAGAAAATTAAATATCAAAGGAACTTTAAAAGATACCGAATTACGTAACTAGTCATAAATATGCAACAATATGCACATTGATGCATATTGGGCGCCTAGGAAAGAAAATTAAATATCAAAGGAACTTTAAAAGATGCCGAATTATGTAACTAGGCCAAATTTAGTATTAAGATGCACATAATGCATATTTTACGCTTAGGGAAGTAAATAAAAGATTAAAGATACTTTTACAAGATACCGAATTACGTAACAAGGCATAAATATGCATAAAGATGCACATAGATGAATATGATGCTCAGTGAAGTAAATCAAAGATCAAAGCAGCTTTAAAAGGTACCGAATTGCATAACAGATAACTTAATATCATAAAAATGCACATTGATGTATATTTGACCTTTAGGGAAGTAAATTAAACATCAAAGATACTTTTACAAGATACCAAATTACATAACAGCGCACGTGTTTGCATAAAGGTGCACGTCTGAATTGCGAATGTATCAAAATACATGAAAATAAATGCTCAAGTTTAGTGAAATAAAAGTAGGATCAAAAGTATCCCCAACGGCAATGAATGACGTAATGAGTTGTGTTTACTGACCTACAATGTAATCGTAGTCAACTCTAGGCTGTGTCACGAATTCTTTGCCTCCAGCGATACCCAGTATCGTGAACACGTGAAGACTCCACCAGCAAACATTATCGGTACTCCGTACTTTCATCGTCAGGCTGACTGGTCACCTGTTTATCTAAGATGTGTTGTTGTAGCGTTTGAAATTTTTGTTTTATTGATGTGTGCATGGGCCAACTGTACACGTCAACAATATTTTATACATCTCAGAAAGGTTTATTTTAATTTTATTGAAAAATATAACTGATGTTGTTTATACAATAAATAAAGTAGACGTATTGCTAAAAATTGCTTTCAATTTACATTTTTTAAATTAAAAAAATTAAGAAAATCATAAACTAGCTATGTATACGTAAAAAAGAAAGCAAGATGGAACACTATCTTTCACTTTTATAAAGTTATTTTAAAAATTAGAATTCCCTACAAAAAATAAAAAAAGTTAAAAGAAACCAAGATGGCATATAATCTTCCACACTTACTTTAAATTAGATTATTTTAAAAAAAATTCTTAGTCCAAACAGAAATGATTAAATTGTTAAATTAAAACAAAATAAACTTACATTAAAGCAAGCTTACTCTCCAAGACTTGTCAGACTTTAAACCACTTCAAGAAAATCAAATTCCTTTTTATCAAACCAACTCCGGGGCTATTGACCCTCAAATATTGATCCGCATAGCTCTAGATTTGAACGACCAATGACGAAAGTCAATACACCCTTGTTTATTATTGGACCATGGCTCCCCAAACGTGAAAGCCAAACTCGAACAATTGTCGCACCTTCACATTTTCCCAATTTACTTTTGTAATTGCTTGCACCAAATTTTCTAAACCCCACCTCATCTGTCTCTATTCATATAAGATCCGTAAAGTAAACCTTCATTGTAAACGTTCACCTAAATCTTACTGTTCTAAAATTTTAAAAAATAAAAAATTGGATAGGGTAATTACATTTTTGTAACAAACAAAGACCTTTTTTAACAACACGAATGTATCGTGCATTCTTAACATTATTTGTTGGTTAATTAAGCTCACATAAACAGATTATATAAAAAAATATTTCTATTATTCTAATTTTAAAACAAAACGAAGACGACATTGCAGTTGATCACGTTAAGAAATACAATAAGTTATAACAATGGCTTTGTGCTGTGCTGTAGCATTCATAACCCAATGGTAACTAACAAAGGAAGATTATGGACGTACATAAAAACACTGGCCACAGGACGTGTGTGGTCAATAGGATTAGTGCATCTACCTGACAGGTATTGTTGGTAGAGGGTCTTGACCTGTGGGCTAGACCACTCACAACAAGACACAATTATTTTATAGATAGGTAAACAACGTGTGAGCTGACACTTTTGCCGTAGTTGGGTAGTTTTGTTTATGTGTTTGTTTACATGTGTTTGTTTACGTGTGTTTGTTTACATGTGTTTGTTTACATGTTTTTGTTTACATGTGGTTGTTTACATGTGTTTATTTACATGTGTTTGTTTACATGTGTTTGTTTACATGTGTTTGTTTACATGTTTTTGTTTACATGTATGTGTTTACATGTATTTGTTTACATGTGGTTTTTTTTACGTTTTGTTTACATGTATTTATTTACATGTGGTTTTAGATGGGTTTTTGTTTACATGTGTTTGTTGATATATGTCTGTTTGCATGTTTTTTACATGTGTTGTTTTCATGTGTTTTTTTGTTTACATGTGTTTTATTACATGTGTTGTTTACTTAGTTTGTTTACATATGCTTGTTGAGATGTTGGTTTTTTACGTTTTTGTTTACATGTGTTTGTTTACATGTGTTTGTTTACATGTGTTTGTTTACATGCATTTGTTTACATGTGTTTGTTTACATGTGTTTGTTTACATGTGTTTGTTTACATGTGTTTGTTTACATGTGTTTGTTTACATGTGTTTGTTTACATGTGTTTGTTTACATGTGTTTGTTTACATGTGTTTGTTTACATGTGTTTGTTTACATGTGTTTGTTTACATGGGTTTGTTTACATGGGTTTGTTTACATGGGTTTGTTTACATGGGTTTGTTTACATGTGTTTGTTTACATGTGTTTGTTTACATGTGTTTGTTTACATGTGTTTGATTGTGTCAAGGTGGCTTGATTGTGTTCTAGTCTCCCCCCCTCCCACACATACACATAAACATACATACACAAACTGAAATATAAACGCATTAATAGAACAGTATTTAAAAATCGTTAATCGAGTTAAAAACAACAAAAACAGTATATTAAATTACTACCTAGAATAATAGCTTGAAATAAAAATGACATAAGTGTAACGACCGAGTTAAGTACACATAAAAACAATACAAAAATAATAGTTTTAATTAAAATATATATAATAACTATTAATAACAAATCTCATTTTAGTAAAGAGAAAAATTTGTATTCAGAAAAAAAAATCACGTAAATATGTTTCGTTGAAAAATATGTTGATGTCGAGTTGGTCGGTCTTAGAGGTCAAGTCATCGGGGGAAAAAGCATCCATGACGTCACACACGGGAGAGCGGTGGGGGAAAGGTTGGGGAGAGGTGTTTTGTGGGGATGTTCCTCGGGGTGGGGGTCTACATTTTGCGGTAATATACATTGAGTTGAGGGGGGGGGGGTATCAAAATAAAGATCGTTCTCATTTAACTTCAATAAAAAAATAAAAAAAATACTTGATTACTATTTTTTTACATTGTTTTGTACACATCTACGTTTGTTTTATTTAAAATACTACACCTACCATCAAACACATGGCACACATCAAACACAAGCTCATATTCAACCTGAAGCAACTCATGCCGTTGTTGCCTTCTGTAAACGGCGGCAGTGACTTCCCTTTGATCAAGTCGACCACCTTCTCCCCAATCATGACGGTGGCGGCGTACGTGTTAGCTGTGGTGATGAAGGGCATCACAGAGGCGTCGGCCACCCTCACGCCCCGGACACCCCTCACCCTCAGCTGGCTGTCCACCACGCTGGTGGGGTCACCCCCGGGCCCCATCTTGCACGTGCCCACCTGGTGGTAGTAGCTCAACGGCCTCGCTTTGACCGCGCATGCCCAGTAGTTATCCGAGTCGTACTCGTGTTCTTTACACACCGTCAATCGCGTGGTATCCACCAGCGTGGCGCCAATCTCCGCCATGGCGGGGGTGTGGAGGAGTTTCTGGCACACCCGGACAGCGCGCACCAGCGTCTGCGCATCTTCCGGTTTGTCGTGGTAGTTGAGGTGGACGATGACGTCATCGTCCGGCTGGTCGCTCCGGAGCCGGAGCAGGCTGGAACTGGAAGGTCTGGTTGCCATGAGCAACATGGTGAAGCCGTTGGTGACGTTGTCACGTCTGGCGAGGTCAGTCACGGTCTGCGGGTCGTAGTCATTCAGCTGGAACGATACATACATGTCGTTATATAAACCAGAGAGACGTGAACATCATTTTAGTAATAAATATTGCTATTTTAAGTTTTTAATATTTTCCTCTAAAAATAAATGGATTCTTCATGTTTAAAATATACAAATAATGTATGCTTCGCTCAAGGTATCGGATAGTTGTATGAGACTATATTCTACAAAACTTTGCGAAAATCCCGAGAGAAATTGTAAGCTGTTATCTTTTCAACTTACATTTATATACAAGCTTGACATATAAGGTAAGAACAGCATCACCGTTTTACCAACCACAACACTGCTACAACAACACAGCCACCACAACACAACACCATAACAAAACACAGCCACACCAACACAAGAAACCCACCACAACACAACACACCCAACAAAACACAGCCAACACAACACAGCCACCACAACATAAACAACATAACATGGCCACCACAACACACCCACCACAACACAACCCATCCACCACAACACAACCCATCCACCACAACACAACCCATCCACCACAACACACCCACCACAACACACCCACCATAACACACCCACCATAACACACCCATCTCCAAACACCTACCACCACACACCCACCACCGCACACTCACCACCACACACCCACCACCACACACCTGTACTCACCATTGCTGCCGTAGTAGCCACAGAAAAACGAAAGGCGACCTTCACATCCGGCCAGTCCTCACCCCCCGTACTGACGTGAAGATGTACCCCCGCGTCCGATACAGCCAGGGGTCCTTGCTTTAGAACCCTGTACATCTCCCCCACCCACGGCAGGCTCAACACTTTTGGTGGCACCAACGTCTCATTGACAGCCACCGCCAGATCAAACAAAACATGATCCTGCAGATTCTCCCCCACAGGTAAATCAGACACCACAGGTATTTTCATCTCCTCCAAGTGCTTCCTCGGCCCCACCCCAGACAGCAGAAGAAGCTTAGGCGAGCCAAACACCCCCGCAGACACAACCACCTCCTTTGTGACGTTAACCTGAAGAGTTCTACCACTGACAACGTGGACGCCAACAACTTGACCTGCGTGGAAGAGAATCTTCTCAGCCCGTGCGTTCAGCAACACGTCTAAGTTAGGCCGAGTTAAGGCAGGGTACAGATAAACCCTAGCCGAGCCCCATCTCTCCCCTTCTTTAATATTACATTGAGTTCTAGACACGCCTTCGAGTTTCTCCCCATTGAAGTCCTCGTTGAACTGATACCCTGATTCAATAGCCGCCTGAATCAGTTTGTCCGTCAGGGGGTACAAAGAATTTGTCCGGGTTACCGGTATCTGTCCGGTAGTGCCGCGATACACGGAACCCACTAATTCGGGGTTCATCACCTGCTCGATCTTCCGGAAGTAGGGCATCACGTGACTGTACCGCCAGCCTACGTCACCAGTGTGTCGGTACCATCTTTCATAGTCCTGCCGGTCCCCCCGGAAGTAACCCAGGCCGTAGATGAGGCTGGTGCCCCCTAGGGCCGTCGCGGCCTTGAACTTGAGCGTGCCATTCTTTAAACTTTTGTATTTCTCTCCCCTTGGTTCTATGGACATCAGCAAAACAAATATTTTTAAAATACGGTTAGTGTTTCTTCCAGACTTTTTTCTCCGGGGGGGGGGGGGGCACTTGATATTTTCGGGGAGGGAGGGGAGGAGGGAATGGGGGGGGTGGTGGCGGACAGCGATAAAAGTATATGTTTTCTATATACATTTCATTTCCTGTTGGGGGGGGGGGTAGACTTTTTCCGTGGGTGTGGGGGTGGGGGGGGGGGGCTAAGAGATGCCTGGAAGAAACTCTGTTTACGTTTATCTTTGTCGTTAAAAAAAAGTACTCTGTCTTACTCGACCAAAACTGTATATATAAATACAAACTCCAAAACCATAACAAAACAACATCGCATGTGTTCATATTTCAACTGTGCGGGGAAAAAATGTTACCAGAAAAAGACAACAAAGATACCAGTTAAGTTTTTCCTTTTTCTTTAGTATATTCCTCTTTATAAAAAAATAACACAAATTAAAACAGCGCAAGATAAAATAACAAAACAAACAATTACCTTAACAAGACACTACTAATTATCTTAAGAAAACTCCTGAAATCAATGTAATAAAACAAAAGTTACATGATCAAAATAATGTAGAAGAATAACGAAACTAGAAAACAATCACCTATAGAGTAGTGAAAGACAAGTTAGTAAAATAGATGGATAAAGGTTACCTGAGCTATAGCTTACCTGAGGTTAAGGTTACCTGAGCTATAGCTTACCTGAGGTAAAGGTTACCTGAGCTATAGGTTACCTGAGGTAAAAGTTACCTGAGCTATAGGTTACCTGAGATAAAGATTACCTGAGCTATTTGGTTACCTGAGCTATAGCTTACCTGAGCTAAAGATTACCTGAGCTATAGGTTACCTGAGGTAAAGGTTACCTGAGCTATAGACTACCGGAGGTAAAGTTTACCTGAGCTAAAGGTTACCTGAGCTATAGGTTACCTGAGCTAAAGATTACCTGAGCTATAGGTTACCTAAGGTAAAGGTTACCTGATCTATAAGCTACCTGAGGTAAAGGTTACCTGAGGTGAAAGTTACCTGAGCTATAGGTTACCTGAGCTAAAGGTTACCTGAGCTAAAGGTTGCATGAGCTATAGGTTACCTGAGCTATAGGTTACCTGAGCAATAGGTTACCTGAGCAATAGGTTACCTGAGCTATAGGTTACCTGAGGTAAAGTTACCTGAGCTAAAGGTTACCTGAGCTAAAGGTTACCTGAGCTATAGGTCTTCAGGATGTTCGGCAGTGTCCACACTTTATGGGTCAGACCAGGGACGTTGATGTCAGTGTAGTTACGATAGTCTGCCCCTTGTTCTATTAATAGCACCGTGACGTCACGATCCTCTGAGAGACGGCTGGCCACCACTGACCCAGCCGAGCCCGCCCCCACTGGGGAGAAAATACGTTCAATGTATAGGGTGAGTTTTGAGAGGAATTGTAGTGAATGTTACATTAGCCTGGGTATCACCCACATGAAAACCCACCTGTACACCCATCTGGACACACCTGTACGCCCATCTGCACACCTACCTGTACAGGCACCTATAGAAGCACCGGTACAGGCACCTGAACACCCACCCAACCCCCCACACCCACACACACTGATGAAAGTATGTGTTTTCTATATAAATCTTTTCTTATTGGCCAGGAAACATTACATTGAGCAAAAGAGTTACCCAAATTGGCCAACAAAGCTACCCACATTGGCCAACAAAACTACCCACATTGGCCAACAAAGCTACCCACATTGGCCAACAAATCTACCCACATTGGCCAACAAAGCTACCCACATTGGCCAACAAAGCTACCCACATTGGCCAACAAAACTACCCACATTGGCCAACAAAGCTACCCACATTGGCCAACAAATCTACCCACATTGGCCAACAAAGCTACCCACATTGGCCAACAAAGCTACCCACATTGGCCAACAAAGCTGCCCACATTGGCCAACAAAGCTACCCACATTGGCCAACAAAACTACCCACATTGGCCAACAAAGCTACCCACATTGGCCAACAAATCTACCCACATTGGCCAACAAAGCTACCCACATTGGCCAACAAAGCTACCCACATTGGCCAACAAAGCTACCCACATCGGCCAACAAAGCTACCCACATTGGCCAACTACCCACATTGGCCAACAAAGCTACCCACATCGGCCAACAAAGCTACCAACATTGGCCAACTACCCACATTGGCCAACTTAGCTACCCACATTGGCCAACAAAGCTACCCACATTGGCCAACAAAGCTACCAACATTGGCCAACAAAGCTACCCACATTGGCCAACAAAGCTACCAACATTGGCCAACAAAGCTACCCACATTGGCCAACAAAGCTACCCACATTGGCCAACAAAGCTACCCACATTGGCCAACAAAGCTACCCACATTGGCCAACAAAGCTACCCACATTGGCCAACAAAGCTGCCCACATTGGCCAACAAAGCTACCCACATTGGCCAACAAAGCTACCCACATCGGCCAACTACCCACATTGGCCAACAAAGCTACCCACATTGGCCCACAAAACTACCCACATTGGCCAACAAAGATACCCACATTGGCCAACAAAGCTACCCATATTGGCCAACAAAGCTAACCCATTTTGTCCAACCAAGTTACCCACATTACAAAACTACCCACATTTGGCCAACAAAACTACGTGATTCCCTTCACGTGAAATGAGAGCTATAACGTCTTACACAGGTCATGTCAACACGCCCCCCCCCCCCCCCCCCCCCCCCAAATTCATAGTTTTAAGAAAATGTTGAAGAAAAGAACGTAGCTAGGAAGGTCGCCTGGTGTTTATGTAACAATAAAAAATTTAAACCAGGAGGTTGAACGACCGTGTCCTGGATTTAGCACGATTTTAAAATACGCTTAGTCGACATAAAAACTATCAGTTAGACAACTAGTCGACATAAAAACTATTAGTTAGACAATTAGTCGACATAAAAACTATTAGTTAGACAATTAGTCGACATAAAAACTATCAGATAGACAATTAGTCGACATAAAAACTATTAGTTAGACAATTAGTCGACATAAAAACTATTAGTTAGACAATTAGTCGACATAAAAACTATCAGATAGACAATTAGTCGACATAAAAACTATTAGTTAGACAATTAGTCGACATAAAAACTATTAGTTAGACAATTAGTCGACATAAAAACTATCAGATAGACAACTAGTCGGCATAAAAACTATCAGTTAGACAATTAGTCGACTTAAAAACTATCAGTTAGACAATTAGTCGACATAAAAACTATCAGTTAGACAATTAGTCGACATAAAAACTATCAGATAGACAATTAGTCGACATAAAAACTATCAGATAGACAATTAGTCGACATAAAAACTATCAGTTAGACAATTAGTCGACATAAAAACTATCAGTTAGACAATTAGTCGACATAAAAACTATCAGATAGACAATTAGTCGACATAAAAACTATCAGATAGACAATTAGTCGACATAAAAACTATCAGTTAGACAATTAGTCGACATAAAAACTATCAATTAGACGCAATTAGATACAATTAATATACACTCCTATTTATACACTACCTAATATTTTTGACTCATATTCCAGGCCCATTAACTATGAATTTTGATTACTTTAATCAACGTTTGATTCAATGTCGAACTACTTTAGTCATTTGTAAACTCTAATTTATCATTTATATCTTCATCGATACAAAAAAAATATATTAAACGTTAACTAGATTCAAACATTTCTCTAACTAAAAATGCGATTCACAACATTTGTTATTTTCTTAAATATTCACAAGGTCAACCCTACGGTCTTAAAACTATGAGGGTTCATTTTATTTTGAGCCATAATTACCGTGGTCTTAAGATGGATCGCTACAACTACATAGATGCCGAGAGAAGGAGATTACAACAGGAGTTGGTTGAAAAAAATTAATTTGCTTTATCTTTTACCGAAGACAAAAAAGTAAAATGTAATCGAAATTCAAAAATTTAAAGTATGATAAAAAATGATTGAACATCTAACTTAGGGTTCGTAAAGTAATGACCAACAATAACTTTGTGTGCAATGCGCGATTAGTTTTCTTGATGCCATTTTTAGACAAATTCGTAAAGCCGATTTTATTGTAGTTATCTGTTTAAGTAGTCGACCCCTCAGAAAACCCATCGCCACCCCACGGGAGTAGTGACACACGGTGTGATAGCGTCATCTAAACGCGTTGCTAATTGCTAATAAATCACTAATAAATCACTTATAAATCACTAATAAATCACAAGTCACCGACAAATCACCAATAAATCACCAATAAATCACCAATAAGTCACCAATAAATCACTAATAAATCACAAGTCACCAATAAATCACCAATAAATCACCAATAAATCACCAATAAACCACCAATAAATCACTCACCAACAATGTAGTCATATGAAGCTCTGGTTTCTGTCACGATATGGCTCATGACAGCAAAGATGACAGCATTCAGGACAGCACATGACAGCAGAGTGGCCGTTAAAGCACGCATTATGTGGGAAGGTTAGGGACGTGTTCGGTAATTAGTAAACTTGTTCTGAAATCAGAAACAATATGGTGAAATCATGATCAGTGTTTCTTCCAGACTTTTTTCTCCGGGGGGGGGGGGCATTTGAAAATTTCGGGGGGGGGGGGGGGCGGTAGACTTCGGGGGGAGGGGGGCGGACACTGTTAAAAGTATATATTTACCATATAAATTTAATTTCGTTCGGGGGGCGGTAGACTTTCTTCGGGGGGGGGGGGGGGGCGAAGAGATGCTAGAAGAAACTTTGATCATGAAAAAATCAGAATTAGATGAACTGATATTAAAATAAAGAAACAATTAGATTAACTTATACTGAAATCAGAAACAAATGAGCTAATACTGTAATTTAAAAAAACAATTAACTTGTTCAGTAATTGGAAATAAAGCAGTACATTTACATTAATTAGTCATACGAATTAAAAACAAACATATATCCCCTTAATACCCAATATAAATGGCAGTCCCCTGAATTTGATATTTTTACTCATATTTAAAAGAAAAAAAAAACTCTGACCACTCCATTTAAAATAAAAAATGACAGCATTAAATATATACTTTAATTTCTATCGAACTAATGTTGTAGGTAAATCAAGTTCGAGAAATATAATAGTAGATTAAAGAGATGGCAAATACATTCAGTTGCTGTAGTTTCACATGCATGACATAAAATGTATCTGGCACAATACCATCTGCGCGCGGAGGTCGGGACGCACCAATTATTTAGACGTGAAAGTCAGTCACACGTTCCCACAACACTCATTGTGGTACGACGTGGGTAAACAACTAATTAAAATACCTTTGTCATGACCGAGTCTTTTATTCAAAACAACAGCGGGGTGCGTCTTTATGTTCACAAATGTGAAGGCAATCAATTCTTGTTTTAATAAGTCTCACATAAAACATAAAGCTCTCTCGGCTTTCACTGTTTGTGTGGTGTGTCGGACTCACTTGTTAGCATTAGGGCGGTTTTCCTATATATATATATATATATATATATATATATATATATATATATATATATATATATATATATATATATATATATATATATATATGAAAGTAAAAAAAAAATTCTCTTTTCGAACCTGACGGCTCATGGGGCGAATGAAGTAGAGTTCACCTGTTTCTGTAATTAGTTATAATTTTTTTATGGTTAAGTAAACATATAACTTACAATAATGTTGCAGGCCTATTGGAGTCAACCAGATTTTGATGCCGCGAAATGTAACTTTGAAAAAATATTTCACTTTCAATTTCAGTCGAGGAAGTCTTTGACGCTGTGAGCTCTGAAATCTAAAGTTCTGGACAATGGGAATTAACGTACAGTCAGGGTCAGGTAAGCAGCGTCCAGTAGTTACCTACAGGTAGACAGATGTTGAGCCACTGTAAAACATCCGGCACACCTGTCTTGGAGTCTCGCCTTCACTTGTTTATGACCTGTTTTTATACGGCCGAGTTTGGAACACACAAAAAATATATTTAATGGCAAGTAGAGCGAATAAAGCCCATTGCTGTCACGTGTTACTAGACTTCAATGAACACTCCCTCTGTTATGATTCTATGTTTTCGACATTTATACGATCTTGTGCACCCTTGTGGAGCTCAAAGATCGAAACGTTGATGTCACTGCTAGACAACAGTTATCGTTCTTAGAACAGTTAACTCCCCTGAAAAGGGCGGCAACTCAATATTTAAAAAAAATAAAAGCAACGCGACTTGACTACATGAATTGACTTTATGATATCCAAGAACTGAAGTTAAGGAATAAAACTACACGTTGATGATTTTATATTTGAAGTCTTAATCCTGCATGAGCAGCGTAGTGCCAACTACTGCCCTCTACATTTGACATGAGAAAATAAATAAACTTTTAAAAAAATGTATACCTACGTTATAAGAAAAAAGAACTGCAAATATTGATGTCAGAAATAAAATTCACAGCATAAAATATATTTTCCCACACTGCCAAAAGAACTTTTTTTTTTAGCTGAAAAAAAAATGTTTAGATTAAGCGAAAAAATCTAGTGATACGAGATTATAACGGAGTGCATCGTAACAACGGCTGTTTTGTTATGTACTGGGGGCAGGTCTAGACCGTTTCCTGTTGGCTACATCAATGTGTTGTTTCACTCATCGTAAACACGTCTTAATGCACTCGTTAACCCGTAACACAAGTAGGACAGGCTCGTACAAGTAGGTCAGTGAGACAAAACTAGGCGATGAGAGTAGGTCATGTAATATAAGTAGGTCAGACTGATAAAAACCATGGCGTGACAGTGAAACCGGGTGTTGCAAGTAGGTCAATGTGGTCTAAGTAGGTTAACCTGGTACCTATCGAGGCTTATCAATCTGAAAAATGTAGGTCACTACGAAATAAGTAGGTAATCTTGTTTCCAATAGTGACATGTCCATCCGTAACAAGTATGTCACGGATAACACACTCCTGTTTGCACGCTGAGAGAAGCTGATACCGAACTACGTGTTGTAAAACAAAAACTTGATTTTACCCCAGCCTACGTGTTTACACCCAACAGCAGCACACGGATGGTGTTCTGAATGGGGGTTTGGACCACGTGACCGATGTTTACAACAGGAGTCTAATTATAGCAGCTTCGTCACGTGGGTTTTGTTTACAAACTTAAAATGTTCAGCTTTGTCAGTGTAAGCTCAAAAAAACAATGTCTATCAGATTTCTCTAGTGTTAGTCAATCGATTAAACAACAACAACAACAAAACTTTTTATGATCAATTCTGGTTTATTTCCCTGCTGTAACGTGTCGTGACATTATAACACAAATACTGTTGAAGCTTATCAGATTATTGTTTAACAAAAATACATCTTTAAAAAAAACACTGTGTAGCAACAATTTTTTTAAGATGGGTAAAAAAAACCCATCAATAATGATCGTCTATAAATGACGGCACTCTTTGGGTAGGGAGAAGACTTTTGTGATGTGTGAAAAAAAGGGGTGGAGGGTGATATGAAAGTGTGACGTTCGGACAAACATACGGCTGTTTAAAAATTCACCAAAGAGTGAACTGTCATCTATTGACAATCTCACATAAATAAAAACAAAAACACTTGGGGAAAACATTGACTAGATAAATCTTAAAGAAGGGAAATGTGTCACCCTCTGTGTTCAGCTGGAAAAGGGATGTGTCACCCTCTGTGTTCAGCTGGAAAAGGGATGTGTCACCCTCTGTGTTCAGCTGGAAAAGGGGTGTGTCACCCCCTGGGTTCACCACCTGCTTTCATGAAAGCGAGATGTGTCATTGCTGCAGGACAAACAGCTATGCCCCATGGCTGAAGCTATGCCCCATGGCTGAAGCTATGCCCCATGGCTGAAGCTATGCCCCATGGCTGAAGCTATGCCCCATGGCTGAAGCTATGCCCCATGCTGAAGCTATGCCCGATTGGACAGCAATAGCTGTAAGAATGCCCGTGTCTATACGCTTGACGATTGTTCACACAGGTTGTCTATGCCTTCACTAAAGAAAAACTTGGACAAGATCATTCAATGATGATTTTATCACCGGGAATTTAAAAAATGAAGTTTTGATTACACCCACATCATGTTTTATGGCACATTAGTCTTCACATACAGTACAGCCTGCACTGTCTGTCACATACAGCCTGCACTGTCTGTCACATACAGCCTGCACTGTCTGTCACATACAGCCTGCACTGTCTGTCACATACAGCCTGCACTGTCTGTCACATACAGCCTGCACTGTCCCATACAGCCTGCACTGTCCCATACAGCCTGCACTGTCACATACAGCCTGCACTGTCTGTCACATACAGCCTGCACTGTCACATACAGCCTGTAGTGTCTGCCACATACAGCCTGCACTGTCCCATACAGCCTGCACTGTCCCATACAGCCTGCACTGTCACATACAGCCTGCACTGTCTGTCACATACAGCCTGCACTGTCACATACAGCCTGTAGTGTCTGCCACATACAGCCTGCACTGTCCCATACAGCCTGCACTGTCCCATACAGCCTGCACTGTCACATACAGCCTGCACTGTCCCATACAGCCTGCACTGTCCCATACAGCCTGCACTGTCACATACAGCCTGCACTGTCACATACAGCCTGCACTGTCCCATACAGCCTGCACTGTCACATACAGCCTGCACTGTCCCATACAGCCTGCACTGTCACATACAGCCTGTAGTGTCTGCCACATACAGCCTGCACTGTCCCATACAGCCTGCACTGTCCCATACAGCCTGCACTGTCCCATACAGCCTGCACTGTCACATACAGCCTGCACTGTCCCATACAGCCTGCACTGTCACATACAGCCTGCACTGTCCCATACAGCCTGCACTGTCCCATACAGCCTGCACTGTCCCATACAGCCTGCACTGTCACATACAGCCTGCACTGTCCCATACAGCCTGCACTGTCACATACAGCCTGCACTGTCCCATACAGCCTGCACTGTCACATACAGCCTGCACTGTCCCATACAGCCTGCACTGTCACATACAGCCTGTAGTGTCTGCCACATACAGCCTGCACGTCCCATACAGCCTGCACTGTCCCATACAGCCTGCACTGTCACATACAGCCTGCACTGTCACATACAGCCTGCACTGTCACATACAGCCTGCACTGTCCCATACAGCCTGCACTGTCCCATACAGCCTGCACTGTCCCATACAGCCTGTAGTGTCTGCCACATACAGCCTGCACTGTCCCATACAGCCTGCACTGTCCCATACAGCCTGCACTGTCACATACAGCCTGTAGTGTCTGCCACATACAGCCTGCACTGTCCCATACAGCCTGCACTGTCCCATACAGCCTGCACTGTCACATACAGCCTGCACTGTCACATACAGCCTGCACTGTCCCATACAGCCTGCACTGTCCCATACAGCCTGCACTGTCCCATACAGCCTGCACTGTCACATACAGCCTGCACTGTCTGTCACATACAGCCTGCACTGTCACATACAGCCTGTAGTGTCTGCCACATACAGCCTGCACTGTCCCATACAGCCTGCACTGTCCCATACAGCCTGCACTGTCACATACAGCCTGCACTGTCACATACAGCCTGCACTGTCACATACAGCCTGCACTGTCCCATACAGCCTGCACTGTCACATACAGCCTGCACTGTCCCATACAGCCTGCACTGTCACATACAGCCTGTACTGTCCCATACAGCCTGCACTGTCACATACAGCCTGCACTGTCTGTCACATACAGCCTGCACTGTCACATACAGCCTGTAGTGTCTGCCACATACAGCCTGCACTGTCCCATACAGCCTGCACTGTCCCATACAGCCTGCACTGTCACATACAGCCTGCACTGTCACATACAGCCTGCACTGTCCCATACAGCCTGCACTGTCACATACAGCCTGCACTGTCCCATACAGCCTGCACTGTCACATACAGCCTGTAGTGTCACATACAGCCTGCACTGTCACATACAGCCTGCAGTGTCTGTCACATATAGCCTGTAATGTCTGTCACATACAGCCTGTAGTGTCTGTCACATACAGCTTGCAGTGTCTGTCACATACAGCCTGCTGTGTCACAGCCTGCTTTGTCTGTTACATGCAGAAATAACTGTAGCAATAAAATATACATTCACATTTATGTCATGAGCTTAAAAATCATTAAAAACGTATAAAAGCCATTGTAGTCACTGAGTAAGTTGTCTATTAATAAGTAGTTTCTAAAAAAGTAGTTCCAAAATCAGTAATCACAAAATCTATAGTTCCTAAATAAGTAATCAAAAAATATGTAGTCACAAAATAAGTAATTCCTAAATAAGTTGTCCATAAATAATATGACATTAAATCATTAATTTTTTAGATAAGTAATGTATGGTCTGTGATTTTTCAAGCTTGTTTAGTATATAAATAAACATATGAATATATTTATTTAGGTTTTAAGTAAATGTTTTCAAGTAAATGCATGTCAAACTATAACGACACTTGGAATAAAACATATTAACAATAAACATTTGCCTTAATTTGAGGCAAGTGCCACACAGCAACATGTTTTTTATTTAAATAACAAGCAAAAAAAAAAACAGAAACAAAATATGTACCCACTTTGGTGAAAGCAGTGACTGAATCAAATACAACAATTTTTTTGGAAAACCGTTCAATCGAACAACATTTATATTTTAACATTTTTTAACGTTTTCATACACAATATCACATTTTAAGATTCGTATTAATAAACTTCATGTAGTTCTGTTAACAATTACCAAATTTCACTTTAGCGTGGTCCTATAAGCAGTGAGAAATAACAGACATCATAATTTTAAAAAAAATAATTTGGTCATGAAAATAATTTCACAATTTCTTCTTTATTTATGTTAGGCCCGGTTAAAGGCTGACAAATAAAAGTAGTGCAGGCCACATGGGCACCTAAAAAAAACCAATATTTAATTTTAAGAACTAAATAAGACTTTAATTTGCAGTACTGGCGATTTAAAATACACTTAGGCAAAGACGGAATGATAAAATGGATAAATGATTTTAACTGTGAATTTTAGATAATACTATTTGTAAAACAAGTGAAGTGAGCTTAAGGAAGCTTCACAATCCAATCATACTGAACTTAGGGAAGCTTTAGAATTCAATCATACTGAGCTTAATGAAGCTTTAGAATCCAATCATACTGAGCTTAGATAAACTTTAAATATCCAATCAAACTGAACTGATAGAAACTTCACAACTTTAAATATCCAATCAAACTGAACTGATAGAAACTTCACAACTTTAAATATCCAATCAAACTGAACTGATAGAAACTTCACAACTGATCACATATCAGACAATGGAAACATTAGATCAACAAAATACACCAAAAAAAATTCTAACTTGGCTCACTGTACTATTTCAGCCTTGATTTGGACAACACCACATACATCAAAGCATCCATAGTTCAATACAAATAATACTGTCAAATGGTTTTTGAATGACTAGCTCATAAATCTTTTTTACGAAATTTAATCTGTTAAAGAAAGTATGGTTGAATATTTCTAATATATATATATATATATATATATATATATATATATATATATATATATATATATATATATATATATATATATATATATATATATATATATATATATATATTTTATATATATATATATATATATATATATATATATATATATATAAAATATATATATATTATATATATATATATATATATATATTTATATATATATATATATATATATATATATATATATATATATCCTTATATGCATATATATCCCTATTTGTATTTTTTCCTTTTTATACATATATCCCTATATATATATATATCCCTATATTAATATATTATATATATCCCTATATATATATATATATATATATATATATATATATATATATATATATATATATATATATATGTATATATCAGTGTCAGTGGAGGTAAAATGTAGTCTGTATTGTCACATTTCCTAGGGTTACCTAAAGACAATCTGCTATAAAGATTTTATTACCTGTCTTTACCCTCATAGAAATCACCAGACTAAAACAACAACCCACAAATAAAATCAACTGTTGTAAAAAAATGTTCTCCCACTCAATCACTCAAGCTTGGGTTCCTTGTGTGATTGATTTACATTAATTTTTATCCCTCATTCTTGAGCCGTTTCAGCTGTTTCCAGTACTCAGCAACTTCCACACCCTCCCAGTTGGCGTTGTTTAATGGAGCCATAAACCTAGACCAGACAAGACCAGATTAGTGGGTCAGGTACATCATCAAGGGATTAGTGGGTAGGCTACAACATCAAGGGATTAGTGGGTTATGTACACCATCAAGGGATTAGTGGGTAAGGTACACAAACAGGGGATTAGTGGGTAGGCTACACTATCAAGGGATAAGACCTTTACTCATAATGTTAAAAGAAATACAAAATATAAATGTGATAAAAAGTAAAATTATTTCCAAATTAAATACAAAAAGGATTTTGTTAGTTCCATATTAAGTATGAAATAATTGTAATACCATCTCTGTAACATCTAAAGAATCAAATAGTAATGTGTTTTTCTTCTTTTTTTGTTCCCTTCTATATGTCCTTTCAGACAGTGTACATTTTTGTAGATAGAAAGAATTTTATTCCTTGTAAAAATATCAATAGTAATATTGTTTTAAAAAATGTGTATTCCTGCACATTGTTCCTACATTGTAAGTGTAAGTATGCATTTTTTTCTTTACTTTTCCATATAAAATAGCGTTTAAGTTACAGGGGACCTAACTTAAATTATGTCTGAACAGGCTGAAATAAAATAAGGGAGATAATTCTTCAGAAAGTATAACAAGAAAAAAAAAAGAGTTAAATTACTTTTCTATAACATCATTCAACACTTGTTGTTCCTTGTCAGTCAGTGGGGTGGACACAGTGACCAGGTTCTTCTGGAGCTCAGTCAAGCTGAAATGTGAACATGCATTACATTAGTCTTATCATTGTTTTTGTTTCTAAGCTCAATATCCATAGACCATTCACTCAGTCAAGCTGAAATGTAAACATTCATTACATTAGTCTTAACATTGTTTTTGTTTCTAAGACTCAGTCTAAACTCAATATCCATGGATCATCTATCCAAAAACAACAAGGTAAACCTGCAGCCTACAATAACTGAAGCAGTTTATTTTTAGTTTTAAATAAAAAATCAATATTTGACTAATTGATTCAATACACGGAAAGCGACACACTGCAATACACAATATATTTAAGATTAGAAAATACAAAAGAAGTTATTTTAAAAAAATATGGAAAACTAGTGTTGGTTATTATTTTTAAAATGTACAAATTTTTTTTGTCTGGAACATAATAAAAAAAATGTCCAGTAACCATTAAGAATTTTTTTAAAAATGCAAGCATAGAACTAGGGGAGAGAATCATGAAATTATCTTTACCTGGCAGTGCTGAGTAGAGTTGTAGGGATTCCCTCTTGTTCTAATGTAAATTTTATAGCCAGTTTGGTTATATCAACACCCTGGTCCTATGAGAATATGTATAATTTATCTGTTAGTGCTACTTGATGTCATATAGATTAAATAATCGAATTCATTAACGTCAAAATTACATGTCTAATCCTGCTTTATCTCTAAATGATGGGATGCCACATGTTATAAAACAAGTTACTTTGTTATATTTAATGTTTGTTTTTTTAACTTGAGTTAGGAAAACTTTTTTGAATTAGACCGTCTTTGAATTATGTTAAAAATTTTAAACCCAAACATTTAATGATACAATTTTAACCCTACATGTTGAGTGTCACAATTAAACTCAAACTATCCCAAGTGTCAGAATTTAACTTTAAACTATGGCAAGTGTCACAATTAAATCAACTGTGGCAAGTGTGACAATTTAACCCAACTGTGGCAAGTGTGACAATTTAACCACTTTCTGTAAAAATGTACCTGGCAGTAAGTAGCAGCCCTGGCACAGGCTAGTTTAATATTCTCTGGGGCAGGGTGCCAGGCTGGGGGTCCTCTCTCAGACAGCAGACCCATGCTGGTGGGGGAGGCGTTCACCACACCCACTCCTTTACTCTGTGAGGGAATTGTGTTTCAAAGTTTAATGCTGACTTAATACTGTACAAATTGTAACATGTCCAACAAAATATTGTACAAAGAAACTATTTAATAGTGTCCAACGAATTATTGTACAGCATATTATTCTCAAGTGTCCAAAAAAATAATTATTAAATGTCCAACAAAATATGGTACAAACTATTTAATTGTCCAAAAAAATATGGTCCATATAAATAATTGTTAGGTGTCCATCAAAATATGGTACAAACTATTCCATAGTTTCCAACAAAATAAGGTACAACTAAATTATAGTATGATTTTAGACATAAACACTTAGAATTTGTCCTAAAGTACCTTGAAATAGGGGAGCCAACTTTTGAGTGAGTTGTCGTTCATGGTTGATCGGCAGTAGGTCAAGACAAGATCAATCTTTATCGTGGATCTCTCTAAAACACTTCTGTGTACAGTAATACATTATATTTGTCATTGTCAGTGAAACAACAGATGTTATAGTTCACCTTACAGATGACATTTTATTCAATTAACTAGAGTCACGATCATTAATTATCGGATGTCACAGTGAGACATATGAATGCTAAAAGATACACTTACAGATGTGTGAGAGAGACAAAAATTGTGTGAGGTCAAACAAATTTAAAAAAAAATATATTAAAAGCTTTATGATAAAAGCTTTTAAATGCAGTGAAAGTAAGAAAATAAAACAAACTTGCTTTCTTTGTTAAAAGTTTTCGTCGTTAAAATATGTGAGAGATTTCATGAGTGAACAAAGCTTTTAATAATTTAAAAGTGCATTTAAAATCTTGATATTATAAGGGATTTTATTCGTTTTATTTCCCACTTTTTAGTTATTCCATCAAAATGACGTTGACACTTATTAGGCTGTGACAACAAAAATGTGCATCAAAACCTGACAAGTAGCTGGTGATCTCTAAAAGACAGTTATCTGCCCCTACTTTGTTCGTGGTTGGAGCTATATTGAGAAATCAGCCAACCATGACAAAACATTTACCACTGTATACAGACTGATCAGGTAATCGCTGGAGATTTGTTACCAAATTTAGAGATTCTTAAATTAAAATTTTAAGACTAATTGTCTTCTAATAAGATTTTTTTTTTAAAATTGATATTTATGCATCGTCATTGAAGAAGGTACATAGACAGTTTGAACGAAATTGCAAAATTAGCAGGTGAACTCTACTTCACATGACCCAATGACTGTCAGATTGGAAAGATACTTTACAAGATAATTCTGTACATGAGTTTATCATGTTATGCCAGAAAGGTAGAGCATCGACAGAGGTTAATTGGTAATTCTAAAACTTCCAAGTTCAGACCCCCGAGGACAGCAACCTATCTAGGAGAAAGTGGTCAAGTATGTAAACCAAAAAGTCTCGAGCTCAAACCCTCGCTCAAACCCTCGGGCAGATGAGGCTCAATAGCTGGTGACAGCAACTCTTCTAGGAGAGACAACTCCAAAATCAAACAACTGCTACCCTGTAGTTTGTTCTAGGTTGGACAAAGGCTATGGAAGTTAATCCAGAAACAAAAAGCAGGCTGAAATTGAAGTCAACCACATATGGCACATAACAAGTTGACAAGCTTAATTGTGTTGAAGAAAACCCCCTCCAAAAATAAGACTAATAATGAAAGAAGAGTTAGACCAGCCATAAACAGTAAGAAACCTACTGAAAATTGTTGAGTGGGTATCCTGTTATTCCTATAAACTTTTCCTTTCCCATAGAGTTAGACCAGCCATAAACAGTAAGAAACCTACTTAAAAATGTCGAGTGGGTATCCTGTTATTCCTATAAACTTTTTCTTTCCCATAGAGTTAGACCAGCCATAAATAGTAAGAAACCTACTTAAAATTGTTGAGTGGGTATCCTGTTATTCCAATAAACTTGACCTTTCCCATAGAGTTAGACCAGCCATAAATAGTAAGAAACCTACTTAAAATTGTTGAGTGGGTATCCTGTTATTCCAATAAACTTGACCTTTCCCATAGAGTTAGACCAGCCATAAATAGTAAGAAACCTACTTAAAAATGTCGAGTGGGTATCCTGTTATTCCTATAAACTTTTTCTTTCCCATAGAGTTAGCCCAGCCATAAATAGTAAGAAACCTACTTAAAATTGTTGAGTGGGTATCCTGTTATTCCAATAAACTTGACCTTTCCCATAGAGTTAGACCAGCCATAAATAGTAAGAAACCTACTTAAAGTTGTTGAGTGGGTATCCTGTTATTCCTATGAACTTGGCCTTTGCCATAGAGTTAGACCAGCCATAAATAGTAAGAAACCTACTTAAAATTGTTGAGTGGGTATCCTGTTATTCCTATAAACTTGGCCTTTCCCATAGAGTTAGACCATCCATAAACAGTAGGAAACCTACTTAAAATTGTTGAGTGGGTATCCTGTTATTCCTATGAACTTGGCCTTTCCCATAGAGTTAGACCAGCCATAAATAGTAAGAAACCTACTTAAAATTGTTGAGTGGGTATCCTGTTATTCCTATAAACTTGTCCTTTCCCATAGAGTTAGACCATCCATAAACAGTAGGAAACCTACTTAAAATTGTTGAGTGGGTATCCTGTTATTCCTATAAACTTGGCCTTTCCCATAGAGTTAGACCATCCATAAACAGTAGGAAACCTACTTAAAATTGTTGAGTGGGTATCCTGTTATTCCTATAAACTTGGCCTTTCCCATAGAGTTAGACCAGCCATAAACCTACTTAAAATTGTTGAGTGGGTATCCTGTTATCCCTATAAACTTGACCTTTCCCATGTCCTTGACCTTCTGCAGTGCTGGCAGCGTTTCGTTGATTATTATATCAAGTGAGGGGGCGAACTCCATGTCGTGGACCTGAGGGTGGTTAGGTCAAAGGTCATTAGTGGGTTTAAGTTGGAAAAACAACTGCGGGCATTCTTGTGGACATGTGGTAAGGGAACGATGTTGAAATAGGTAACGAAACAAAGGTTTATAGTTCAGATCTAGGAGAATAAAATTTTACATTAATCAACATACACTGTATGAGACAATGTGCCCTAGCGGTAGAGAGCTAGACTGCTAACCTGAAAGTCTTGAGTTCGAATCCAGGTTCAAGTCAGTAGACCGTCCCTGAGTCCACCTAGCTCTGATGGGTACCTAACTCACGTTAGGGAAAGTAAAGACGGCTGGGTATAGTGCTGACCACACTATCCCTTCATATGCCGAGGTCAAAGAAACATATGAACCCTACTTCACTTGCCCTATAGAGCGTCAGGTTTTGAAGGTGAACTTTACTTACTTACTTATTACATACATGGTGCAGGGACATATTTGTACCGTAAACTACAAATTGAGAACAGAAATCAGGAAAATAACCAAAGTGTTACAGTAGACCACACATCTACACCAGGCATCATAGAAAAAGTTTGTCCAGTTATAACCCGAGCTAGGTCACCTGTATGACGTCAACATAGTCCAGCCCCAACCTCTGGAGACTCTCGTCCACACTGGCCAGAGTTCTCTCGGCCGAGAAGTCGAACATCCGCTCCACGTCCTGCTCGTAGCGGCCGACCTTAGTGGACACGTAGTAGCTGGAGCGGGGCAGGGAGGGCAGCACCTGGGGGTCAGAGTAGAGGGTGGGGACAGCTGAGGGTGGGGACAGATGAGGGTGGGGGTAGATGAGGGTAATGATTAGGAGTGGGGACATGAGGGTGGCGATTGAGGGGAGGGGTGGGGGTAGGACAGATAAGGGAGTTGCCTCAGGGTGGGGACAGCAGAGGGTGGGGACTGGGGGTGGGGACAGATGAGGAAGGCGACAGGTGAGGGTGGGGACAACTGAGGGTGTTGCCTCAGGGTAGGGACATGAAACTTTCATGTTTTAAAATGTGGTATTGCAATAGAATAAAGAAAATATATCTGGCTATATAAAAAGTAGAGTGGGCGCAATAGTACTCCCCTCCCTACATCACTTAACATTATAGCACGTCAGAAAATAAAAATAAATTAACCCCCAACCCCCACTCTCTTGTACAGTCATGTTAAATGTCACAATATGTTTTTCTTGTTTTAATCCTTTACTCCATTACGTAAGTCTAAAATTCTCACTTCAGTCGAACGCGTGTAGCGTCATGTATTACATATCTTATATAAAACACCTATTACATGTCTTACACACTATAGACGAAGGTAAAGGCACTATAAGCCCCACACCAACAACAAAAACCACCAAACTGTTGAGAGGTTGTAAACAAAACTATTTCCCATGGTGATCAACATCAGCCTCGTTTTAGAGAAAATATCCCATACAAAAACTACAAAATTAACAATAAAAAAAGTTTGCTGCTAGTAAAAATCAAGTCTAAAATTTACAAAAAGAATTGACGGTATAAAACAACAACCTCAAACCAGAAGATAACACAAACAACCACAGAAAATTGATGAACGCAAGAAATAAGTTGTGAACGTCACAGTCTACAACAGACAAGCGATGGGGTTGTGTTGACCGTCATTTGAAAACGTCACAATCTAGACTTGACCTGTCCTAGAACTGTTCCAGAGCCCTAGAATCTGGACACAGTAGCAACTCGGACAATGACCCCCAAGGGACGCCCAACTTTTAAGTAATTAAATAAACTTTACTTATGAACGTTTTCTTTTTTTTTTTTATTTCATTGAACGAACGGAAACCCAGTTAACGATTCCCCTGGAATGTTCTTGATGGCTGGGAATAGTTGGCAAGTCGGCCACAGACTCGGATGACGTGTTGTGTTGCGTTTCTCTGAATTACAGTGTTTGTTTTTTTATATTTTAAGCGGAAAATATATGTGTCAATTTTCGTTTTGTGCAGAGTTTCTTCCAGGCATCTCTTCGAACGAAATGAAATTTATATAGAAAATATATACTTTTAACAGTGTACGCCGGAGAAAAAAGTCTGGAAGAAACACTGGAGTTTTGTGTGTTGAGGCGTTATCAAACTGACCAAATTTCAGCAACAGCCCGATATGTCAAAAGTCGATGTCAAACTTTTTGGGCACATCCACCGTCTATTGAAAAATGTAAAGTGAAGGAACAAGACCCTAGCGGACTAGAAGTAACAGTACTAGGGGAGTTCACTCTGCCAATAAAAGCCTCTAGTGATTCTGACTTCCGCCTTTAAACGTGGATGTTGGAACTTGTGAAACAATTATCCTGAGCTTAGGCATCTTCAATTCTCACCCACGGAAGTTCAAAATTGATTCATGAAACTTTTAAATAATGGATATTCGTGAGCTCAACAACTCTTGTTTTTTAGTCGCAATTTTTTTAAAGGAAGGAGCCAAGTACAGTTTTTAACAAGCAAATTCTCAAAAATTCCGACTTCAGCGATCGAACGATTTGGTGAGCAAACTACTCGGTGAACGAACGATTCAAAGTACGAACTATTCGACAAATAACTATTCGACAAACAAATTACTCGGTGAGCAAACTACTCGGTGAACGAACGACTCGATGAACGAATGATTCGATGACCGAACCCCGCCCAGACAATAAATTCGCTAACCGAGACATCGCGGTGTAACTCAGCCATGAAGACGTTACCTTCCCTAGAACAGTCTCAGACTTGCCCTGTCCATACCACGGTGCCGTGTCGACGTAGTTGATCCCCGACTTCACGGCCGTCCTGACGACATGGACAGATTCCTCCAGGTCCGTCTCTCCAAACACGCTGCCCACTGCGCTGCCACCTGGTATGGGGAGGGGGTGGAGGGTATGGATAGAAGGGGGTGGTTTAATTTAATATTAGAATATTCTGTATCAATATAGCATACCTACTGTGTGTATGCGTGCGTGGTTGTGTGATTATGACGTTGGTTGTATATGTGTCTATGTGCCAATGTAAATCTATGTATTTTGAGGTGGCGAAAATTTGTGACACAACTGGGATTCGAACCTGGATCTTTTGAATCCAGGTGGCAAAGACCTGACCCCCGTCTATGTAGTAAGGAGGGGGGTGATAAAACAAAGAGTGTGAGGACCGATGTCCTCTGACAATACCTGTGAGATGTGCCTGATAATTTAGAGGCGTAGCGACTCCTCCCGGCGTCCGGGGACATATGTACCCCCCCCCCCCCCACTCACCCCGTCGCTACGCCTCTGAGATAATTAGCTGTACTACTTACTGCAAAACGTTTGTTGGACTTAATAAAGCCTAGAGGACTAGCACCAAGTTTTTTTTTAAATTTGTTAATGAATGAAAACGTCATTTACATATGTTTGTAATTAATTCGGGATACGCTGCCCCAATCAGAATCTTCCCACCTCCACTATCATAAACCTTCTTACCCACCCCTGTCAACATGTCTACAACCCCCCCTCCCCTCTCGCCCCACCACGATAATATCTACTCCCACTTTCTTTCCAAAGTTTCAAGGTCAGGTAACTTGAACCTAATCAACGTCATGAACAGACTGGCGTCTTTTATTTTAAAGACATGATTACTCTAATATGAATCCAACTCAACATCGTGGACTAATGATCGCCGACTGGATCAATACTAAGGGCCGGAAGGTTACCAATACTCTACTGAAAGATTGCACTTACATCTACGTGTGTTCTACATACATTTTCTTTTAATATGCCTCTGATCGTAAGGTACATATAAATGATCATGTTGCTCTTGGTATCTTGATTTCGGATCTAGGACATCCCCCCCCCCCCTACCTCACCGTCCCTGGAGTCATTACTCCATGTCAATGATTGTCAATACCCTTTCCCGCCATCATGAAGAACCCCGACCCCAAACCACAACTTTAAACCTACATCTAACCCTAACCCTATCCTACTGGGCGGGGGGGGGGGGGGGGCATTGACAGGTTGGTAATTGACGGGGTGGGGGTGGGGGAGGGGGTTAATGTCCTGCTCCTCTTGCTTTCAATATATAGCAACACGTCATCACACGTAGCTATGAGTCACATCCACATGTTTTGTAGACCAGTTTACACATACAAATTGGTGTTCCATACATATTGAGTAAAAATATTACATTACAATGGGTCTTACATTGATAGCAGTGTTCCATACATTAAGTAGGGGTGTTACATTAACACTACGATTTTTAAATGTAAAAAAAAAATACCACTACTCATTATTCTTGGTTTGACTCAATGCAAACGTTTAGCGACCAAATCGGCCAAATATTTGGGTGGAACACCTACTCCATCCCAGCATGCCCCCCCCCACCCCCTTCCTAACACACCCACTCCCCCACCCCCTTCCTAACACACACACTCCCCCACCCCCTTCCTAACACACCCACTCCCCCACCCCCTTCCTAACACACCCACTCCCCCACCCCCTTCCTAACACACCCACTCCCCCCACCCCCTTCCTAACACACCCACTCCCCCCACCCCCTTCCTAACACACCCACTCCCCCCACCCCCTTCCTAACACACCCACTCCCCCCCCACATTCTTCACTAAAATACGCTGACATTTCCCCATCCCATCTGACGACCCACTCCTAGATAAATGGGAACACCAGCCACAAAAACAGGCCATAACGTCCACTCGACATTACCTCAGGGCTCAGGTCACGCGGTCCACTAATAGACCTTATCAAAAATTGACCAAGGACACCCACAATAACCCAAATTAAGCCCATAAACCCAAACAACGAAGAAAAAACCCACTAGGAAGTAACGGACGAAGATGATTAAATTTCACAGTTCTGTGAGTATTTATAGCATCCATCCATCCCTTTATTTTTGTGTTTTCGATCGAATTCAGTGCGCTGGTTTAGTACAATCAACGCAGCAGTTTAAAAAGATCTTCCTCCGTCATTTAAAGTAACTCGGTTATTTTGAAGTTCAAACTATTCCAGTTTTTAAATTTCCAATTTTAATTTTATCCACAAATTCTTACGTCGGAATTCCCGTAAAACTAAAAAAAAAAAAAAAACTTAATAAATGGTCCTTGAAATATTGACATTCAAATTGTATTTAAAATTGTATTAAGATAAAATAGCAATTTAAAAATTTACTAATTGCGCCTTCCAAAACGCGGTTGTCTTTTGATGCTCACCAATCTTTTCTCTAAGCATCATTAAATATATTTAAAACGAAGACGTTATTTGAACCGTATTTTTAATTGTTTCTATTTCGGAATTTACACAAACACGTTTATTGATAATTACTACACCAGTATTTAGACAGTAGGCTATTCAGTCTCCTTGATAGACAAATATTCAGACAAACAAGTTTATTTATAGATCTAATTACTGGTCCAGTATTTAGACGTAGTAGGAAAATATAGATCTAATTAACAGACCAGTATTCAGACAGGTACATAATGATGTACTTACTATATATATATATATATATATATATATATATATATATATATATATATATGTATATACTTACTAAAGTGTGTACACATTTACTTACACTATACACACTCATACATCCACATTTAGTTGACGCTACATGTAATGACAAAGCAACATGTAATTAGGGTAACCTAAATATGTGCCTTGAGAGTTGAATAGCTCGTTAACTCGGATGTTAATTACTAGTGACGATCGTAACAATGGACAGCCGTGCAGGACAGCTTTACTCACCTAGGCTGAGCAGTGAAACGTGGAGACCTGTGTTGCCCAGGGGACGGTAGGGCATGACCTTGACCCTGTCGAGGTCATGAAAACCTTCGACGTACGTCTCCGGTAGTTGAGAGCTAAAAACAAAACAAAATAATGGAAAAATGTAGTGATTAAGTCTTTATCATATGTTAATTAAAATAAAAAGAGTAATTATTATACATCTGTTAAAGATCTCTGCCCCCCCCCCCCCCCCCGTGAATCTGTTTGATGAAAACCGCGCCAGTTCATGTCAGGTTTTCTACCAATCCTGACATGATTGACGTCACGTGACTAGCATGCTAATTGAGGTCAGTGACCTCTGCAATGGTTCAGGGTGTCCTGCAACTACTCACAGACAATCTCGGTCGCACGTGCAACAAGTTCAAGCTGAAAACCTCTCGCCCTTTGATTCTCTGTAGTGGGGTTTACAAACATACCAGATTATCCACATAAAGCCATTTGATTCTCTGTTGTGTGGTTTACAAACATAGCAGATTGTCCACATAAAGCCATTTGATTCTCTGTTGTGTGGTTTACAAACATAGCAGATTGTCCACATAAAGCCATTTGATTCTCTGTTGTGTGGTTTACAAACATAGCAGATTGTCCACATAAAGCCATTTGATTCTCTGTTGTGTGGTTTACAAACATAGCAGATTGTCCACATAAAGCCATTTGATTCTCTGTTGTGTGGTTTACAAACATAGCAGATTGTCCACATAAAGCCATTTGATTCTCTGTTGTGTGGTTTACAAACATAGCAGATTGTCCACATAAAGCCATTTGATTCTCTGTTGTGTGGTTTACAAACATAGCAGATTGTCCACATAAAGCCATTTGATTCTCTGTAGTGTAGTTTACAAACATACCAGATTCTCCACATAAAGCCATTTGATTCTATGTGGGGTGGTTTACAAACATAGCAGATTTTCCACATAAAGTCATTTGATTCTCTGTAGTGTGGTTTACAAATATAGCAGATTTTCTATATAAAGTAAAGAATCGTATTTAGACCTAGCGATCCATTTGGCAGATGAAGTTCATATTTCTTGACCTCGACATACGAAGGGAAGGTGTGGTCAGCAATTTGTCCAGCAGCCTTTACTTTCCCTAACATGATTCTGGTTGCGCATTTTTCTGTTTGCGCTTTTTTCTGTGTGCGCTTTATTCTGTTTGCGCTTTCTTTCCGTTGCGCATCTTTCTGGTCACCCTAATTTATATGGGTTTCAGTATTCTATTCAACAATTTAAGCCGAGATTCATATGAATTTTAGTACTGTAGTAAAAAAACTCACCGAATCGATATGTATCTCAGTATTTTGTTTATCAAACTAACCTTAGATATACATTCATCTCAGTACTTTTATAACAATCACATCTCAGGTTTTGAGTTTAATAATCGCGTATTCTTTCGCCATTCCCAGCTTAGATACCAACCCAAAAGCCAGTAAATAATTACACACAAAAAGATCTTACCTAATCAAATGTTTACTTACTACAGCTAACCTCCCCCTGAATTTCCCAACATGTAACAATGAATTTTTGCAGACGTGCAAGAAGGCAGGGTTTAGCTTTGTTGCTTATGGTACTTTAATATTTTGATAGCAACAGTTTGCTATTTTTATCATATAGCTATGTGGGCGTCAGGAAAAGGGGGGGGGGGGTGGGTCGTGGTTCGGGGGGGGGGGGGGGGTACAAAATTAATTTTATTATATTAAACTCCAGTTTATAATCCGCCACGGGTGCAGATATGTGCAGCTTCACACTTGTACTGCTTCCGTTGTAAACTCACACGTGTCGCTAAACAATTAGGTTGACGTTAGTGGGAACTGTAGTCTCTTTAGTGGGAGCTATTGTCACGTTAGTGGGAGCTGTAGTCACGTTAGTGGGAGCTGCAGTCACTTTAGTGGGAGCTATTGTCACGTTAGTGGGAGCTGTAGTCACGTTAGTGGGAGCTGTAGTCACGTTAGTGGGAGCGGTAGTCACGTTAGTGGGAGCTGTAGTCACGTTAGTATGAGCTGTAGTCACTTTAGTGGGAGCTTTAGTCACTTTAGTGGGAGCGGTAGTCACGTTAGTGGGAGCTTTAGTCACTTTAGTGGGAGCGGTAGTCACGTTAGTGGGAGCTGTTGTCACGTTAGTGGGAGCTGTTGTCACGTTAGTGGGAGCGGTGGTCACGTTAGTGGGAGCTGTAGTCACGTTAGTGGGAGCTATTGTCACGTTAGTGGGAGCTCTAGTCACGTTAGTGGGAGCTGTAGTCACGTTAGTGGGAGCTGTTGTCACGTTATTAGGAGCTGTAAAAAATTAGGTTGACGTTAGTGGGAGCTGTAGTCTCTTTAGTGAGAGCTGTAGTCACGTTAGTGGGAGCTGTAGTCACGTTAGTGGGAGCTGTAGTCACGTTAGTGGGAGCTGTAGTCACGTTAGTGGGGAGCTATTGTCACGTTAGTGGAAGCTGTAGCCACGTTAGTGGGAGCTGTAGCCACGTTAGTTTGAATCAAGCCACAACCCAGATAGTTAACACAAAAAAACGTACAACAGATTTACAAACCACATGAGTTTATGCCTCATCTCTTTCAGCAAACCGTGATTAAATACCAGAACATTGTGCCCATCCTTCTAGAGGATGGAAGGATGGAGGCGGCAAGCAACGACATTAATTTGATCGTATTATTTTTGTGATATTTACCACCTTCCCCTAAAAGCAAACCAGGACGAATAGAAGGGGGGTGGTGTAATATTAGAATGTTCTTTATCAATATAGCATACCTACTGTGTGTATGCATGCGTTGCGGTATGATAATGAGTTATAATGGTTGTATGAGTGTTGCGTGCCAGTGTACATCTATGTGAGGTAGCGAAAATGTGTGACACAACTGGGATTCGAACCTGGATCTTTGTATCCAGGTGGCAAAGACCTGGCCCCTGTCTATGTGGTAGGGAGGGGGATGATAAAACAAAGAGTGTGAGGGCCGATGTCGTCTGACAATACTTTTGAGATGTGCCAGATAATACAGAGGCGTAGCGACCCCTCCCGGCGCCCGGGGACATATGTACCCCCACTCACCCCGTCGCTACGCCTCTGAGATAATTAGCTGTACTACTGACTACAAAACGTGTGTAGGACTTAATAAAGCCTAGCGGACTTATCTTAACAATTAGCAACTGATTTCTTTTAGATGCTGACGTCAACAAATAGAAATTGTGAAATTGTGGTTGAAAACAACCCCATGTATATTATTTTAGAGCACCGCGGGGTCGCGCGAGAGCGCGTATTTTTGCTAATTATAAAAGTCCCGAGTTCGGACCCCAGGCAGTTAAAGCTCGTTAATTAATTGGGGACAACAACCCATCTAGGAAAAAAAAACAACTCTGAAAATGAAAATTATTGGACACAGTAAAACAAAAAAAATTTATAAAATAGAAATAAAATTAAATCGCCAAATAATATTTGTTGAGGAAAATACAGTAATAACTATTCACCTTTTTATTTTCCTTTACTTTTGGATTTCTTCCGTGTTAGTAAAAAAAAAAAAGTCATCACACCGAAAATAAATATAGATGTACTTGTCTCTATCTACCCACTTTTCCCTTACACACACACACACCATCACCCCCACTCATTATCTCCACAAACATCTGCTCCGCACGCCCCAGTCTCACCTCCCCCCCCCCCACCCCCCTGACGCCGCTTTCCCTATCCATCCATATGACGTCACGAAGATCACGAGACTTACGATCAACGACCTTGACATTGCCAGCTTCCCACGTGCCCAGCCCGAGCTAAATCCCTCCCCACACGACAATTTTCTTGCATCTCCTCAGCCACCTAGCTCAACAAGAACAAAACAAATATATGCCGCCAGCCGCAGGGTTTCAATTACTTCTGCCTTCTGTAATTGTCTACTGGGCTCAAAGACGCGCGAGTTGATTCTAATTCCGGCGATATCTGAGACCGATGGCTCCCTCCCCCCCCCCCTCTCCTATGTGCTAATGATGTTAAATGTTGATTTCCCCACCCGCCATTCCCCGCCAGAGATTCATCACCATCAGGGTGTTGGGTGGGTGGGTAAACCAGTCGACAACAAACAAGCATCGTACGAACCGGATACTGCACTGCTAAGCTTTCCAACAATGTGATTACAGAGATAGATTTAGAAAGATAACGGGACGAAAATAAATCCTTAAACGAAGTACAAAAGAAAGTCAAGTTTAATTTTAATCACTTTTGTGAAAACCCAGATATCAAATTTATTCAATGTTTTTTTTTGTGTTTTGTTTTGTTTTTGTCATCACGTGCAGCTCAGGTTGGTTTGTATGTAAGGTGTTGTGTGTTTGTGTGACGTGGTGTTGTGTTGCAGTGTTTACAAACTGACACCAAACATAATTTAACACATTCGATGTATTATTTGACAAAGCTAGCTCAAAATGTTGTCAATGATGAACTAACTTTACCAGCTCGAGAATAGAGAATAATAACTATATCTACATCTACATTTATATCTGCATCTATCTTTATCTATATCTACATCTATATATATACATATTATGTGTCTGTATCTATATTTAAATATGTATCTATATTTATATCTGTATCCTTCTATATCTATGTTTTTATTTGTATCTGTATCTATATAGAGATCTAAATATAAATACACACCCACACATTCAGATATATATATATATATATATATATATATATATAGGCATATATATATATATATAGGCATATATATATATATATATATATATATATATATATATATATATATATATATATATATGCCTATTTATACTAAAATCTTCAACCCCCAAACCTCTCCGACAAAAAAAAACAAAAAAAAAACAAGAGGTATCTTCCTCTAAAAGGCCCTATACATCAACACATAACCCATCCATGATTGTGTTTGTGTTATGGGGACACTTTAATTCTTTCACCCTAACTCCTCCCCCCCCCCTTCCCCACCCCATACAGCTTCTGGATAAGAGAGGATACTAAACTTCCAACATTGCTTCCAGCATTTCTACAACACCATAGCAACTTGGATAACCACCTACAGAGTTTGTTTGCTTTTACATTTTTATAGCGGAATAAAACAAAA